CTTGTAAAAGAAAGATAGACATGTAAACATGTATTACGCATTCACTGCTTATCATCTAATGAATATGCCCTTTGAAATAATTTTTTGATAGTACTTAATTACGCAATGACCTAAAATAATAGGAAACAAATATTAATTGTCATTTTAACAGGAAACAGTCAGTGCATGTGTTTTCCAATTTTTTAGAGAAGATTTTCAGAAATATTTTGCTAAATTTTAAGGCGTAAACATGTGGATATGAATGTTTGTTGTATTTATCTTGTAAAGTACAGTTTGTATTGTGTATGTACTGATAGTAGATTGATAATTTGGTCAATAATAAGTCAGTAGGCGGTAAAAGGGCCTATGTACATAGGAGATTGTATAATAAAATTCAATTTCATATTAGAATAAGTAAACAGTCTTATTAAATATACTTTGCTTGGAAATATGAAAATTGACCCTCTGACATGCAAGCATTTTATAATCAGCATAGAGAAATATGTTTCAGCTTGATAGTTTGAGTATAAAATTTTATTTGTTAAGTGAGTCATGAATTCTTTATAAGTAATAGTAAATATACATCAAACATAAACACATTATAAAAAATAAAGTAAATAAGCTTACTACAGTCAAACCTGTATTTAAAGGTCACCATCAGGAACAGAAAAAAACTGACATTATAAGAGAGATTGCCTTTGCATAGAGGTTCAAAAAGCAAAGTTATTACTCCAATGGGACAAGAAGAGGGAGGTCTGACAGTATAGGTTTATGCTTAAAAGAGGTTACCTTTATAGCAGGTTTGACTGCATTTGTAGGTCGAAATAGCAGGTTTGACTGTTATTTACATCTGATTAGTAGTTCAAAACATTTTCTATAGAATAGTAGTAAGTTGGATGAGATAAGTTCCCTCCCTAGTTCTCTTACAGTGCATTCTCTACAATTAATATTAAAATAAGGAGATGTGGTAAGATTGCCAATGAAACTATCCACCAGAGTTCAAATGAAGTGGATGGCAGCAATTATAGGCAACTGTAAGGATTTCAACAATGAGAAAAAAACTGTACTGTATAGTCAGCTATAAAAGGCCCCGGTTGATTCATTAATCTACCAATTACCTTATTACTGTCACTGTGGTCTGGTTGTAGCATGCTTGCCTAGAGTACAGGAGGTTGTGGGTTTGATCTGCTGCCAGGTCTAACTAAAGACTTGAAAATTAGACATGATCATATTGTAGAAGTAATGATATTCATTATTTATTTTCCAATGTGGACTTGTTTAGGAAATCAGTAAAGAGGTACAGAGACTGATTGTTGAGGTTTAGAAATATAAATATGTAATTCATAAATTTATTGCTAAATTTAAGTGTCATCTTGTCTCTGCTGTTTATCTGGGTAATGTTATTATTTGTAAAGCTCTTCAAAAAGAGCAGTTAAATTATAATGTATACATTTAAGTAAATAATCAATTATATTTAAACATCCGGTTTGCACTAAATATTTGAATCCACTTATAGTATATAGACCTAGATTCTTTTAGAATTACTCTTATTTTATATTTAGAATTTATGATAATCTTAAATAGCTGTTTGATAAATCATATCTGCCAATGACAAAATAAGACCCTAGACAAACTTCTTCTGAACTAAGGCTTCTTTTATTTTTTGAAACTTGGATTATACAAAATTACCCAAAGATATATAGTATATAGACAAAAAGAAGCAATAATCAGATGTCTTCTGAAGTAGAATGAATCTTATAGGGTTATCGTTATAGCTGTACTGGATGTTGAAATGTCTCTTGCTTACTAAGACACTTTTTAATTGCTCTCAATCTCACATTGAACATTTCTCTGTTGTGGTTATTAAAATGAAGCAGGCAGTGTTTACTTAAGATCCCCCCACTCAATACAGTCACTCTCAACATTTCATTTTTTTTGCCACCAAAATTTTTCCTCTATTTCTCTTGTTTCTTGTCTTTTATTTGTAAGTAGGAATTATTATTTGTTTTTGTTGTCAAACCAGATCTTTTCACCTATATTGTAGTTATATTGGGAACTACAAAATTTGCATGATAGAATTATTTTTCAGCGTTTTAAGGAGACTGTTAAAATCAGCATACTGTCTGTGGTTTCATGGAACCCACTTTATAATAACAGTTGATTTAAACAGTTTAAGCAAGGCTGATCATATTACAGTTAACCTTGTCAATATATTGTAATTTTTGACAAGTTATTATAGATAACACCTGTATAAAAGGTGTGCACTTCCTGAAGAAAAGGGTGGAGACCTTATTAGATGAGTAAGAACAGGACAAAAGGCCTACATATGATATATATACATATGACAGTTATAAACATTACACATGATAGTCCAACTATTGTATTCCAGTGAGGTGGAAAATTATAACTTTTAAACTTTAAATGGAAACCCTAAATAGATATGGGTGGTCAGATTTACAACTTTAATGATGGGAAAAGTTGTCAAAACTTTCAAGGATTTGTCCGTCTTTTTATGTGGTTAAAGTCCAATAAATCAGGATTTTTGCTTTTGTTGGAATTGTTTCCTATTATCGTTATTTAATAATTTGGCAAGAATTGAGACTTCCTCGTTACCTTGTATTGTGTTCCCGCCCCTCTCCCATTACTCAATATTACATCACATGTGTGTACCTATATCAGCCTCTAATTGAACGCTTTGTTTATGTTTTTAATCAGTAATGTGTTTTTCTGATGTTGTATTATCTATTACTGGTATAGACAAGTACAGAAAATAAATTGGATAATTTTGTAATTGAAACTTTTTGTCATGTTAGTATGTTAATACCAATTATACAGAGATTAACATTTTTATCAGAATCAAAAATGAATGTAATTCTACACTATATGGCATTTTGAGGTTAAAGGATATTATTAAAATGTTATCCCTAGTTAAGGATCTTTTTGTCCTCTGCCTTCCATGAGAGAAGGGCCTCGGTGGCCGAGTGGTCTAAGTAGTTACTACTATAATCACTAGCCAGTCAACACTGAGGTTGTGAGTTCAAACCCCGCTCGTGCGGGTGAACTCGACTCAAATCTTAATTAACTAGGATTGTCAGTTTTCCTATAGAAGGTCAGTGGTTTTCTCTGGGCACTCCGGCTTCCTCCACCAATAAAAACTGGCCGCCATGAAATAGCCCAAAAGCGGTGCTTAAAAGTGGCGTTAAAACACCAAAAATCAAATCAAATCCATGAGAGAAAATCATCTTATGTTAATTTTGCTCCTCCCTTGTTGTCAGGGGCAATTTTCTACCCATGATGCAACAGGGGGTTAATAATTCGGGACAGTCTGATGAATTATGGTTCTAACTTCATGTAACAAACAGCAATGAAAAAAAACCACCCAAAATGAATCAATAACACATTTCCTCACATTCTGCAAAATGAAGTATATGTCTACCAGGGTGATTTCTCCAAAGTTTGACACTTCAAGATGGTTGATTAATTATCTGACCCTTTTATCAAGCAAAGACAAACTGACCAATCTAGTTCAATTTTGAAAAAAAAACAAACTTTAAAGTTCATATGATTCATTGGAATTTGAAACCAAGATTCTTGCGAAGTTTTAAGAATGAAAATATAGCACAGCAAACTAAATGATGAAGTACCAAACATTAGAATTTACCATTCATTGGTATACCCATCAGTAGTTACCAGTATTTTTAATCAATTAACTTGAATGTGTATTCTTTGAACAGGCAAAAGAAATATTTTCTGACTAAACCAGTAATCAATAAGGCATAAAAAATCTTTAATTTTTTTTTAGAATATTCAAGGTCAAAAAGATATATGTGGAAACGTGTAACCTGATTAGTCTTTTCTGAGTAGGTCAACAACCTCTCTTGATTTCTTTTGAGTTTTACCCTGAGGTAGTTCTTCTTGCCAATATACAAATGACATAGAATTATGGAGGCTTGTACATTTTATACACCTCTGATAATAGTGTACAGGAAAAAATGTTAAGAGACTTCTCCAAAGTTTATTGTTTTTCCTGACAGTTTCTCTTAGCATAAATTTCTGATCATGATATATTAAACAGATGGTCCAATCTGGAAGACAATTTGATATATCAATCAATAGTATTTCTTACTGGAAATTTTATACTTGTATCAAGTATGAAACATGACTTTCCTATTTTATCTTTGCTGTCCAAAGTACCTGTTGACCTGAGATAATTACCTGTATAATTTTACCTGTAATGACATAAAGGTCAGGTGTTTCATGATACCAATGACAAAGCTATTGACATAGTAGAAACAAAACAAATAACTACTTTATAGACATCTTTTATGTCCTCTACTTATGTAAAGTTTGCTGATCTATTAACAGTCCTTCACTTCTTTCTTCTATTGTTCAATTCAATTCTGGGAGGTTAAGCTAAAAAAAAAAATTTCAAAATCCAGATGTACCTTTAGAATAGATTTTAATCAGCATCAAATGAAAGCAGAGGTGAAAGACAGGAATATGTAGGTCTGTAAAGTTAAACATTCTGTTTGTATGTGTGTATACACAGAATGCATGGTAATAAAACACTCAGTTCTAATTGACCAGTAAATTAACTCTTGAGAAGGACTGGTTTAAATCTTTTGTTGAACTGGCAGATATCAGCTGCTATAAAGTATCCTCAAGGGAAAAACTATATTGGTCGTTTTACTGGCACAAGACTGGTAGATATTTTCCAAGGAAAAAATCGACTTCAGTCAGAATAGAACAGTGGCATTTTACTGTGGTCAAGTTTAGGAGAGACATTGTGTTGATCCACACAGGATGACCAGTGGATATGTGGAGCCATTTAAATACCTACTGACCACAGAAGCTATTATCATTACAGTTGTATATCATGCTATGCCAAGTTTTTGAGTACTTCTTATCAGATGCAAACAGCCCTAATACTTGTGTTACATTTACTTTAGGATCATCTCGGGATTTATCTTACAATTAACTTGAAATGATCAGGTGTAACTCACTTTACTTTCAATGCCAGTAGCCATACAGTGTTTAATGTTACGCACTATTGATTTGCACTATTCTACCAGTTCGATACATGATCTTAGTGAAGTGTTGTGTCCAATTCTGATATAAAAAGAAATTTACAATTATTGATTCCATGTTGGAGGCGTGTGTATAAAACCTGTTGCCGTGTTACGGGATTAAAATATGTGTAATAGTTTGCAAATACAATTTTATTGGGAAAAAATACACTACTTAATATATCAACTTGAAACACACAATGGAAGCATAGAGATGGAGACTGATTAAAATTGAGATATTTTCTTAAGATATGAGTGTTTGTTTAAACATTACATTGAACATATCGCAGTTAATTGCACAGTTAGGATAGATATTTCTGTTGAATATGGAGAATCTGTTTCTGAAATATTTATTATGTGGTTAAATGTAGAGTTCCAATACTTGATAAGTTCAGTTAAAGTTGGATATTTTATGGATTAATTTAAACGTTAACAGTGTTGAATATGAATTGAATTAATTCCAATATTTGAGAGGAAAATGAGATTTATTGTGATATAATTGAGTGAGATAACTGTAGATACTGATATGAGTACATATGTCTGTTACATAACTATTGTCTAAGCCACGACATGATGTATTATATCTTTGTTAGAGTGGGACGTTCACCCAAATCATATCTTTGTTAGATAGGGATGTTCAAAGAAACATTCCAAAAAAATGCAATTGCTTTTAATTTGTGACTTGGACTTAATGTAAGATTGCACACCATCTCGGTTGGAGAATTACTTCCAGTTTCAGAATTTAAAGACATTGTATTTTCTCAGTATTATATATGTGTAATATTTTGAGTGATTTTATCTAAGTACTGAAACACTTTCGTCTTTCGACATAACCATATGCTATCTTTCATATGAATTGAAGAGTAAAACCTTAATATTAATAGACAATACAGGATATATTGAAGTGATTATTGTTAATCATAATTGTCCATAATTTGTTGGCGGTATCTATAAAAATTAATTAATATACTGATTCATTGTTGTATCATGTGCAGATTAGGGGGAATAACTGTGTAATAATTCAGGAAAAGTCATCATATTTTGGAGAAAAATGATTATATAATGAGAACAACTGTGAATTTCTGGTAGATCTGGATAATGTGGAAACCATAACTAAAGGGAGATAATCTTGTCCATTATCGTGTGATTCTTTGAGCTTTAATTTAATCATGTAGAGAAAAAGTGCAGTGATGCTTTAATTGTGGAATTTGATCTAAATTTTTGCTGGCTTAACACAAAAATATGTTTCTAGGTGAATATTCCAGAAGAATTTAAGTGTAAAAATTGTGTTAAGTGGAAATTATGATATGATAGTTGTATTGATAACAATATGCAGTCAAAACAAAAGCTTCGTAGAAAATCTAGTTTGTTTGGAGAGAAAACGAAGGGTAAGTGTTCATGAGATTGATGTACCATTTACACATCAACTTAACACACATTCTTCATTTTATACACTGTATGTGTGATATGTGTGTGTGTGTTTGTTGTATGGTGTGTATTATCTTCATCATGGGTTTGATTAGTAAATAGAGTGTTTAATCCTACCTAGGAATTGGCTCAGTATATTGTTGATATCTGTCTGATCGAGTTATGTGTTCATGTCTAACCTTTCATGACCCTTGTGTGTGTTTGTTGTTGTATGGTGTGTGGTATCTTCTTCTGAAAGGCATTGCTTTGATTAGTAAATGGAATATTCTAATTCTACCAAGGAATTGGCTCAGTATCTGATCTAATAATGTGTTAATGTCTGACCTTCTGTGACCTATGTCCTTGACATTTATACAGGCATGTTTGTTATGTTGAAAAATGACCAGTGTAATACACACACTTTCAGACAACTTTTATTGATTAAATTCTCACAATATTCATTGCTGTTCATATGAAAATTGGAAGTTAAATACCTGACTCGATGTCAGTTAATGGTACCGAACAATTATGGTTCCAGCAAGACAAAAAGATGTACAATCACTAACACCAGATTCAGACCTGATTCATTGTTCTGTCTGTTTGTCTGTTTGTTGGTGTTAAACACCACCTTCAGCGACCCTGAGGTCAGTTTGTATAGATGGAGGCAGCAGTTAAACACCACCTTCAGCGACCCTGAGGTCAGTTTGTATAGATGGAGGCAGCAGTTATACACCACCTTCAGTGACCCTGAGGCCAGTTTGTATAGATGGAGGCAGCAGTTAAACACCACCTTCAGAGACCCTGAGGCCAGTTCGTATAGATGGAGGCAGCAGGTGTACTGGGAGAGAACCACAGACTTTTGGCAGGAGAAGTGGCAATCATTGTCAGTTAAGATTAGAGTTGAACTCACAACCTCAGGTCATCGTACTGTATTAAGCCTCAAATCTTGTAATGTTGCATAATTCTTACACTATATATATCATTACATATGCTTGGAACTTCAAGATTAATATGAATATTGACACAAATTTGTAAAGTTGTCCACTGGAAATCCTTATTTGACAATTCCTGTTTTAAAAAGGGAGATAAATCTTATTTTATTACTTTCAAATATTTCCTTATCTAAATTTTATGAGCATAATTTAATTTATCTTTTGATAAAAAAAAGACATCTATCCCAGTGGTTATAACAGACATGATAAAGGACTAGCTTAAACCATTATCTATTTAGTAAAGAAATCCTTGGTTGTACCCTCTAACCACAAAGAAAAATTATCTATTGAAAAAATCACTACCAAGAGTAATTCAATTGTTTCCATTGTTCCAAGAAAACAATCTAATATTTATTCAATTAATTTATTTTTTAAAGATCATCTTGATAAAAATAGGAAAATTTCATTTAGCAATTAAGTCATGTGAAAAAATTAAAAGAAACAGGATAATGTATATGTAGTAGATGAATAAGTAATAATCATTGAGGATCCCTAAGGGAGGAAATAATTGATGTGTTACCTGTTTAACAAATATGTCGTTTATACCTGTGCATAAAATCTGTACAGGAAGTTGTTAAATCTGCCTGATATCCTGACTTGTAAGTGATAGGGATGTAAGATGTGTATCTCATAGACTACTATTACAACAATTGAATATAATCTTCTATTGAAGGTAAGGGGTGGGGGTGTTACCAAAGTACATATTGCCCTGCAGAGACTGTTTTGATCAGTTTGTTTACAAAATGATTCATATTTAAGAAACTTATCATTTGTGTTTTTTTGGATGAATATTTATTATGTAGTTGATTAAAAAGAATAGACATTTTTTTTGAATACCAAAACATGACACGGAGCTGTAAATGTGTTAGGATAAAAATGTTTGGACAATAGGACGGGTGAATTTTGGCAGTCATACAATTTCTGTCTATTCAGACTAGTGAGGAAAAAAAAATTATTGGTAGAGAATGTCCATTATAAAAATGGGACTTCAGGTCAAGTTATTTTGTTAACATAATAGATAATTATTGGTGAATAGGGCATTTAGAGTAACACACTTAAAATTCTCTTTATAAATCAGTTATTCCAGGAATAAATCAGTAATTCTTGGAATAGTATAATCATTTGTACACCTTTATTAAGTTGTCATGTAACTATGTACACATCTAAACCACCTCTGTGGTCTCCTGGTAGCATGTTCCTCTCAAGTGCGGGAGGTCGTGGATTCAAACCCTGGCCGGGTCGAACTCAAGACTTCAAAATTGGTATTTGCTGCTTCTCCGCTAAGCACACAGTATTAGAGAGCAAGAACAAAGACTGGTCGGCTCAGAGTCAGTTAATGTGTCCGGGTAAGGTGACATGTCTTCCTGCGGACTGTTACCTTGTGAACTAGCTGGTTAAAAATCTGGCTCAGAGTGTCTGTCCAGTACAAAGCTTTGGTATCTTCCTTCTCACTTTTTCTACAAATAAGGACTCATCAGTGAAGTTCATAATGAAAGAATTTAGGAATCCTGAACCTTTAATTGAACATTGAACAGCTAAAACAACCAAAAAGTTACCAATAAGTAGGTCCAATATAAACAAGGCATTAATAAGACATGACTTTCACTAGAGATTTTCTTGAAAGTAAGGGTAAGTCATAGAAACAAAAAAATTTATCAAGCTCCAAGGAAGTTTGAGAGCTAAAAATAAAATATTGACAAAAATATAAACATGGATAATGACAATGAATGAGATTCCTTTTGATTTTGAACAAGGACTTATATAGATTGATAAATACTATCAGGGAGTGTTTGTACTGAATATACTATCAGTCAGCGTTTGTGATGAATATACTATCAGGCCGTGTTTATAAGTGTCTTTATACCAGTAATCCTCCCATCATATACACTTGTCTGATAGTCATGATAGTTATATAATTTGATAGTATTTTTATCTCTGACTGATAGTATTATTACAGTTAAAGCAAGGTGTCAATGGTCTCACTTCCTGTGACATGATTAGACTTTCAGACAACAATGCTGAGAAAAAAGGCACAATAAAGCTACTTTCAGCAAACCTTACTAATGATTACAGACATCCATTGTGAAAATGTCACATTTGATAAGTGTAATATGTACTGCTCAATGTATATTTACTCAAACTTGCCATCCTTAGTTCACATTGGTTGTGACCCTTTGGGGGACCATGGTGGCTGAGTGGTCTATGTAGTTATCTTGGTTGTAACGTTATGAGGGGGCTTTGGTGTCCGTGTGGTCTATGTAGTTCATCTTGGTTGTAACATTATGAGGGGGCCTTGGTGTCCGTATGGTCTATGTAGTTCATCTCGGTTGTAACGTTATGAGGGGGCCTTGGTGTCCGTGTGGTCTATGTAGTTTATCTTGGTTGTAATGTTGTGAGGGGGCCTTGGTGTTGTAAAGTTATGAGGTGGCCTTGGTGTCCAAGTGGTCTATGTAATTTATCTTGGTTGTAACGTTTTGAGGTGGCCTTGGTGTCCAAGTGGTCTATGTAGTTTATCTTGGTTGTAACGTTATGAGGTGGCCTTGGTGTCCAAGTGGACTATGTAGTTTATCTTGGTTGTAACCTTATGAGGGGGCCTTGGTGTCCAAGTGGTCTATGTAGTTTATCTTGGTTGTAAAGCTTGGTGTCTGAGTGGTCTATGTAGTTTTTCTTGGTTGTAACGTTATGAGGTGGCCTTGGTGTCCAATGGTCTATGTTGTTTATCTACAATCAACACCAGCATGTCAACACTTGAGATGTTACAGATATGTTCGACTCAGATCTTACTTTACTAGGATAATAGATTGTCAGTTTTCCTGCCAATGGTCTGTGGGTCTAGGTGGGTAGTACAACGTCCTCCACCAATGTCCTCCACCAATGCCAAGATATAGCCAATAGTGCTGAAAGTGACATTAAATACTAGCTATCAATCAATTAATACCTTTTGAAATGATAAGGTTTTTAATACCAACCTTTGAAATGAGATGTATGGCACTAATGTCTTTATTGACCAATGTTTTACAACAGTTATAAATGTGGAGAATGGGAAACTTATTTACATTTACTAGATCTCTGACACATCTTATGTTTTTGATAAGCAATTATATATTATTATGACCAACACCCTAGTGAATTAATTAACGATGATGAATGACCTACATGAACCAGATGTTAGCCTAGTACAAATGTAGTACCTTGACTTGTTCAATAAAACAATGTAATAATTTCAATAGAAAATCAGATACAGGATATGCCATGTATATAACAAAAACAATGTTTACACAGCATAAAACCTTGAATACAAGCCAAATCATGCTCACTTATCAACATGTATCATCATCTAAATATTCTCTGGCTTTATGTTAAAGAATGGTGTGGATTTACAGTTTTCTTCTGTCTTTTACTTTACATATAACTCAAGATATGTTGTTTACGGATAAAAATATCAGTTTTATATTTGTTTGTTTTTTGATGGACTATGAAGATGGATCTCGACATACTATGGAGGATTGGGTGCCCACATTCATGTTAAACCCCACATTCTGTATGTATGTGTCTGTCCCAAGTCAGGAGCTTGTAATTCAGTGGTTGTTGTTTGTTGCTGTATATAGTATTTTTTTTATTTCGTTTATTGTTTTGTACATAAATCAGGTTGCAACTTTTCTTTTTGAGAGTTGTCTCATCTGCAATTGTTGTTAGTTTTCATTTTAAGAGTTGTCTCATTGGCAATCATACCACATCTTCTTATTTTTACATTGTGTACTGTAAGTTCAGAAGTTATTGCGAGGTTTATATTAATGGGAATAATGCGACTGAATGAGTATCACAAAAATAAGAACTCACATTCTTATATCTGATGCATATAACTGTATGCAGATTTTCCTGAAATCACAATAATAAATGCACGCAATAATTTCAGAATTTACTGTATATATATCAATTCAATGTCAATAATCATGCCCTTGCTACATGTGCTCAAACATACAGTCACCCTCCTACATGTACACAAACACACTGTCACCCTCCAACATGCACACAAACACACAGTCACCCTCCTACATGTAATCAAACACAAAGTCAACCTCCTACATGTAATCAAACACAAAGTCACCCTCCTACATGTACTCAAACACCAAATCACCCTCCTACGCATTCACAAACACACAGTCACCCTCTTACAGGTACACAAACACACAGTCACCCTCCTACATGTACACAAACACACAGTCACCCTCCTCCATGTAATCAAACACATAGTCACCCTCCTACATGTACACAAACACACAGTCACCCTCCTCCATGTAATCAAACACAAAGTCACCCTCTTACATGTACACAAACACACAGTCACCCTCCAACATGTAATCAAACACATGGTCACCCTCCTCCATGTAATCAAACGCAAAATCACCCTCCTACATGTACACAAACACACTGTCACCCTCCTACACGTACACAAACACACTGTCACCCTCCTACATGTAATCAAACACACAGTCACCCTCCTTCATGTAATCAAACACAAAATCACCCTCCTACATGTACACAAACACACAGTCACCCTCCTACATGTACACAAACACACAGTCACCCTCCCCCATGTAGTCAAACACAAAGTCACCCTCCTACATGTACTCAAACACACAGTCACCCTCCTCCATGTAATCAAACACAGAGTCACCCTCCTACATGTACTCAAACACACAGTCACCCTCCTCCATGTAATCAAACACACAGTCACCCTCCTACAGGTACACAAACACACAGTCATCCTCCTACATGTACACAAACACACAGTCACCCTCCTCCATGTAATCAAACACATAGTCACCCTCCTACATGTACACAAACACACAGTCACCCTCCTCCATGTAATCAAACACATAGTCACCCTCCTACATGTACACAAACACACAGTCACCCTCCTCCATGTAATCAAACACAAAGTCACCCTCTTACATGTACACAAACACACAGTCACCCTCCAACATGTAATCAAACACATGGTCACCCTCCTCCATGTAATCAAACGCAAAATCACCCTCCTACATGTACACAAACACACTGTCACCCTCCTACATGTAATCAAACACACAGTCACCCTCCTCCATGTAATCAAACACAAAGTCACCCTCTTACATGTACACAAACACACAGTCACCCTCCTACATGTACACAAACACACAGTCACCCTCCTCCATGTACACAAACATACAGTCACCCTCCTCCATGTACACAAACACAGTCACCCTCCTCCATGTACTTATAAACAAAGTCACCCTCCTACATGTACACAAACATACAGTCACCCTCCTACATGTACACAAACACACAGTCACCCTCCTCCATGTATTCATACACAAAGTCACCCTCCTACATGTACACAAACATACAGTCACCCTCCTCCATGTACTCATACACAGTTACCCTCCTACACGTACTCAAACATACAGTCACCCTCCTCCATGTACTCATACACAAAGTCACCCTCCTACATGTACACAAACACACAGTCACCCTCCTCCATGTACTCATAAACAAAGTCACCCTCCTACATGTACACAAACATACAGTCACCCTCCTCCATGTAATCAAACATACAGTCACCCTCCTACACATACTCAAACACACAGTCACCCTCCTCCATGTACTCATACACAAAGTCACCCTCCTACATGTACACAAACACACAGTCACCCTCCTACATGTACACAAACACACAGTCACCCTCCTACATGTACACAAACACACAGTCACCCTCCTCCATGTATTCATACACAAAGTCACCCTCCTACATGTACACAAACATACAGTCACCCTCCTCCATGTACTCATACACACAGTCACCCTCCTACACGTACTCAAACATACAGTCACCCTCCTCCATGTACTCATACACAAAGTCACCCTCCTACATGTACACAAACACACAGTCACCCTCCTCCATGTACACAAACACACAGTCACCCTCCTACATGTACACAAACATACAGTCACCCTCCTCCATGTACACAAACATACAGTCACCCTCCTCCATGTACACAAACACACAGTCACCCTCCTCCATGTACACAAACATACAGTCACCCTCCTACATGTACACAAACATACAGTCACCCTCCTCCATGTACACAAACATACAGTCACCCTCCTCCATGTACTCAAACATACAGTCACCCTCCTACATGTACACAAACATACAGTCACCCTCCTCCATGTACACAAACACAACTGTTTTACTATTTAGTCGCACTTTTCTTTTTTATAAGTTTTATTATTCATATAAAAAACAGTAATAAAGACAGGGAAGGATTGGCACTCATACCACATCTTTAATATCTATGTGCATCTAGGTTTAGTTTTATGCAAAAGTCCAGAGGCTATTTTCACAAAAATCGTACAACTTTAATTAGTCGGAAGTTATACTGAAATGTGTATGACTTGCAAGTATTTTTACCGTAAGATTTTTTGTGAGATGTACAGAAAAATGAGGATATCTTCCTTTTAATACAAATCCATTATAAGAAACTCTTTGAACTTGGTTAATATCTGTATTTTTATACTTTCAATTATATTTTTGAAGTGGTTTCGGTAAATAAACAGATGAATTAATAAATGTTGTGATTATTGTTGGAAAGTACATACTTGATCAGGGTCTGGAGGAAGTGATTAAACAATTACACATAAAGAAAAGTGCAGTTGTTTGATGGGTGATGGGATAACTGAGATCAACATACAAACATCTACAGTACAATCATACTTACCAGAAATCTAATTATTTGTGGCAGTAATATTTACAACAGGTCACACAGCTAAAAAAAAGGGGCAGGGATACAGGTGGGGAGAACAGAACTTAAACAGTCCCTTCCATTACTATTGTCTGATTTTGCAAAGTCGAGACAAAGCTTTTAGATAACCTGCTTATATTTTAGTAGGTACTTGACTACCCTTTTTGCACTGCCAATGAAAAATTGTGATAGCACATTATCAAAAATAGAAGTAAGCAGGAAGTGAAATTGACATTTTCAGAAAATGATTAGGGTTGGTAATCGGAAATTGGGAGATCACCACAAAGGATATAGTGGGACATAAAGATTTGGTTAGGGGAATATTGGCAATTGCCATACAAATGGGAGGTTTAGCTAGGTATAAAACCAAGTTTAACCCACTTTTTTGGAAAATGCCTGACAGGAATAAGACAGTTGTTTTTCATTCATTCCATTGGTTTAAAATAAAGTCTAACATTTGATTTTGTCAATTTTTATTGACTAACCTTTTTGAATTTACCTTCAGTTGGTACTTTGTTACTTTTGTATTGATTCAGCTTATACCCCTGTACAGTGTTATCAATATTAAAACATTCTATTTTACAGGTCAAATAAACTTCCTTGTATACAATGACCTAGTTTCTCTCTCTATGGAATGTTGAGACAATGGTGTCTGTTGTCATGTTGTGCTATAGCGGACTACTTTTTTCCTTTATTACTGTTGTAGGCCAGTAGATTGATTATGATTATACTGTATATTTTCACACATTTTGTGGGTACTTGGAATTTGTTTCCTGTTTCGTGATCACAATAGAAAAAAAAATATAACCAAAATGATGAATAGTAACGAAAATATTGACATCCCACGATTAAGAAGGACTAAACCAATTAAAAGGAAACGACCATCTATATTGGATTTAGGCAGTAAGTTAAAAATCAATCATTTTATTCATGGTATTGTATGATTTATCAAACTTTTGTTGTACTTTGATCTTTAATGGCCCATGTCAGTATTTGTTGTACATTTAATACTTTACGGGGAAAACCCAAACTGATTTTTGTAAAGTTTGATTAATTTGCTCTTTGACTTATCTGTAACAGTTTGATAAACTTGGCTTATTTCTAATGCAGGAGTTAAAATTTATATTATTTTACACTTTATACCAAATTTTGTCCTTCACAGTGTTCAATGATCCCTGTGTTACTTCCTCACCTAAATTTTTCTTGCGTTAACACCTAATTGCAGGTAACTTTCACTTATCTTTAAACATTTACATGAAAACCAGCAGAACCTGTTTGAGACTAATCAACACCTAAAATGTTTCATAAGAAATAAATAGTTTGATGTTCTTGGTGCAACAAATTTAATCTAACTCTAATACAGTTTTCTGTTTGTATCCACAAAACTTGAAAATCAACTGTTGTGCTTGCATCAGGTCAACTAGTTTTGGAATAGCCTGGCAATACTGTAAATTCAGAAATAATTGCGTGCATTTATAAATGCAATTTTTGAAGAATGGACGAAAACTCGAGATAAATTATTGTGATTTCAGGAAAATCTGATCTATGTATCAGATATGTGAGTTCTTATTATTGCAATACTCATCCAGTTGCATTATTCCCATTAATAAAAACCTGCAATAATTTCTGAATTTACAGTTATCAAGTTTAAATTTCAGCCCATCATATTTTATAACTGATGGCAGAAATATAGGATCAATTTTTTGTTAACCCTGTTTCATGGTATATATTACTTTCTTTTAACAACCATGACAACTGTGAATAGTATATTTGACATCTCACCAGAAAGGAGATACCAAATACTATTAATACAGAAAATCTCTTGTTTTCATATCACTCTTCCTGAAATAAAAGTTCTAATTTTACTTCATAACTTCAACTTAGTTTAATCCTAAAAATAAAGAAAATGTTTTGCAATGTCTGTCAGACATAAATGACTTTAAGCTTAGTTTTATTGAGATAAAAGAAGAATTGAATGGCACCCACTGCCTGATTATGTAATTCAGTTGTGATACTTCCTATATCATGTATATGGAAAATTGTTTTCAAGTCAAATTGAGCTGAATGGTTGTTGAATAAGAATATGCAAAATGGGGCCATAACAGAAACCAATCAGAAGTAAAGACCATCAACATTCCCTTCCGTAGGATTTCCATTGACCATCACTTTTTTCCATTGGATTTCCATTGACCATCATCTTTCTTTCCATTTGATTTCAATTGACCTTGACCATTTCTTCCCATTAGATTTCGATTGACCATCATCTTTCTATCTATTGGATTTCCATTGACCATCATCTTTCTTTCCATTGGATTTCCATTGAACATCGTCTTTCTTTCCATTGGATTTCCATTGACTATTATCTTTCTTTTCATTGGATTTCCATTGACCTTTACCTTTCTTACCATTGGATTTCCATTGACCATTACCTTTCTTACCATTGGATTTCCATTGACCTTTACCTTTCTTACCATTGGATTTTCATTGACCATCATCATTTCTTTCCATTAGATTTCCATTGACCATCATCATTTCTTACCATTGGATTTCCATTGACCATCATCTTTCTTTCCATTTGATTTCAATTGACCTTGACCATTTCTTCCCATTAGATTTCGATTGACCATCATCTTTCTATCTATTGGATTTCCATTGACCATCATCTTTCTTTTCATTGGATTTCCATTGACCTTTACCTTTCTTACCATTGGATTTCCATTGACCATCATCATTTCTTTCCATTAGATTTCCATTGACCATCATCATTTCTTACCATTGGATTTCCATTGACTATCACCTTTCTTACCATTGGATTTCCATTGACCATCATCATTTCTTACCATTGGATTTCCATTGAACATCATCTTTCTTTCCATTGGATTTTCATTGACTATTATCTTTCTTTCCATTGGATTTCCATTGACTATCATCTTTCTTTCCATTGGAATTCCATTGACCGTTATCTTTCTTTACATTTGATTTCCATTGATCATCATCATTTCTTTCCATTGGATTTCCATTGATCATCATCTTTCTTTCTATTGGATATCCATTGACTATCATCTTTCTTTCCATTGGATTTCCATTGACCATCATCTTTCTTTCCATTGGATTTCCATTGACCATCATCATTTCTTCCCATTGGATTTCCATTGACCATTACCTTTCTTACCATTGGATTTCCATTGACCATTACCTTTCTTACCATTGGATTTCCATTGACCTTTACCTTTCTTACCATTGGATTTCCATTGACCATCATCATTTCTTTCCATTAGATTTCCATTGACCATCATCATTTCTTACCATTGGATTTCCATTGACCATCATCTTTCTTTCCATTTGATTTCAATTGACCTTGACCATTTCTTCCCATTAGATTTCGATTGACCATCATCTTTCTATCTATTGGATTTCCATTGACCATCATCTTTCTTTTCATTGGATTTCCATTGACCTTTACCTTTCTTACCATTGGATTTCCATTGACCATCATCATTTCTTTCCATTAGATTTCCATTGACCATCATCATTTCTTACCATTGGATTTCCATTGACTATCACCTTTCTTACCATTGGATTTCCATTGACCATCATCATTTCTTACCATTGGATTTCCATTGAACATCATCTTTCTTTCCATTGGATTTTCATTGACTATTATCTTTCTTTCCATTGGATTTCCATTGACTATCATCTTTCTTTCCATTGGAATTCCATTGACCGTTATCTTTCTTTACATTTGATTTCCATTGATCATCATCATTTCTTTCCATTGGATTTCCATTGATCATCATCTTTCTTTCTATTGGATATCCATTGACTATCATCTTTCTTTCCATTGGATTTCCATTGACCATCATCTTTCTTTCCATTGGATTTCCATTGACCATCATCATTTCTTCCCATTGGATTTCCATTGACCATCATCTTTCTTTCCATTGGATTTCCATTGACTATCATCTTTCTTTCCATTGGATTTCCATTGATCATCATCTTTCTTTCCATTGGAATTCCATTGACCATTATCTTTCTTTACATTTGATTTCCATTGATCATCATCATTTCTTTCCATTGGATTTCCATTGATCATCATCATTTCTTTCTATTGGATTTCCATTGACTATCACCTTTCTTACCATTGGATTTCCATTGACCATCATCATTTCTTACCATTGGATTTCCATTGAACATCATCTTTCTTTCCATTGGATTTCCATTGACTATTATCTTTCTTTCCATTGGATTTCCATTGACTATCATCTTTCTTTCCATTGGAATTCCATTGACCGTTATCTTTCTTTACATTTGATTTCCATTGATCATCATCATTTCTTTCCATTGGATTTCCATTGATCATCATCTTTCTTTCTATTGGATATCCATTGACTATCATCTTTCTTCCCATTGGATTTCCATTGACCATCATCTTTCTTTCCATTGGATTTCCATTGACCATCATCATTTCTTCCCATTGGATTTCCATTGACCATCATCTTTCTTTCCATTGGATTTCCATTGACTATCATCTTTCTTTCCATTGGATTTCCATTGATCATCATCTTTCTTTCCATTGGAATTCCATTGACCATTATCTTTCTTTACATTTGATTTCCATTGATCATCATCATTTCTTTCCATTGGATTTCCATTGATCATCATCTTTCTTTCTATTGGATTTCCATTGACTATCATCTTTCTTCCCATTGGATTTCCATTGACCATCATCTTTCTTGCCATTGGATTCCCATTGACCATCGCCTATCTTGACATGTGATTTCCCATTGACCATCGCCTATCTTGACATGTGATTTCTATGTTTATTTATTTCTAACTCATAAATATATGTACAGATCACTACATTTATTGCAGTCCTAGTTTTGATAGTTTCTTTTGTGAACAAAATTAGGTAAAAACAAATCAAGTGTACCTTTCCAATTTTACAAATGGATAGAGAAAGTTTCAGACCTTACTATAGTGATCCTAAAGTCAAGTAGACATCAAGGTATCTATAGTACTCGCATATATTTTGTCATTTTAAGTGAGATTGCTAACATTAATATGCAGCTTTCTGTTCCATTCATTAAAAAGCCATTTGCGCAGCACTATAAAGGAGGGTGGACACCACATCTGCATAAGTATTATTACTTTGTTTACTATATGATAATGTTTTCATACTTTATGATTTTTTGCATTATGTTATTTATATTGTTCCTTTAATCCCTCGGGGTATAAATGTGCATTTCTTTGATAAATAAATATTATTATACAGGCCACCATAGATTTTAAGTTAATTTACCTACAGATTTCAAAATAAAAGAAAGTGGCATTTGTTTAAAAGTTGTGAATCTTTACTGGTCTGTTTTTTTTTTACTCCCACTTTATTTAATGTCGCTACTTTCTTCTAATGGTGTTGGACGTCAAATGTTCTGTTCCAGTACTAGGGATAAAATTAGACTGGGGGAAGGAAATGGGAAATACTAATCTACTTTCAATCCATGTGTGCCACACATCAGCAGTATTGGAAATTGAATTCTAAGAAGAGACATTAATTCCTAGTGACTGTCAGCATTATTGTTGACAAGATATTTTATGTTCCAATAAAACTACTTTTCCTGGAAGTGGTTTTAAAGTCCAGTTCAGACAGGGTAGCACTAAATATTTTTCCAATAATATATCATTGTTTCTGATCACTCTCTGTAGTACTGTATGTATACTTCAGACATGATAACACTCAGTTCTAATGTACATTTGTACTTGTTATAAACACTTATCTATGAACAAGATCCTGTTCAGTAGTAGTATGAAATATGAAGGCTAGTTTCTTAAACAATCTTTTATTTGTTACTTTTGTATGGTATGAATTGAGATTGATTATGACAATAATGATAGTGATTGTTATTTACTGTCTATTGTAAAAGACTGTATGTTGTCTTCTAGTTTTCTTTTGTTGATGTTTGTATTTGGGTTGCTGTCACATTGATGTAGACCCCACATCTCTTTTGATATATATGACCATGTCAAGGCTATTGAAACATAATTCAAATTGAGAAGACTTTCATGTAGATGATGTAACTTGAATTTCTTGGAACATGTAACACAAGAGAATATAAACCACTGAAATCATCAATAATATAAGATTAGTTTAATGTGTTGAATATATCTTTTATGTGGTCACAGAGCTTAGGATGTGTCTGAACCATAAACTGATCTATTATCTGTACTAGCTTTGTAATATGTACTATTAACTTAAAACATTCACATAACATCCTGGTATTATAAAGGGAAATTTTCCAACAGCATCTTTTTGATGAAATCTGTATCATCAGGGTAAATTAAGTTTTACAGAAAATTATTCTTGATAGGATCAAGGTAAATAGATGTCTTGAAGCTTAAACTCTGAGTGAGAACACTGCAAAGGGATAACTCTCCATTTTTGAATGTCAAGACATGCTCATATAATTTTAAGGGGCATTGGAGTCTGTGTGGTCTAGGTAGAACATTTACTATTATACAGAGTGTTTAAATTGAAAAGAAAGAATAAACCCCACTAATTCATGAAACAAGATCCAGACACCCACTTGACAAAACAAAACACAGGAACAACACTTTTATTGCTGTTCTTCATCTGAAAGTCATAGATTCATTCAACAAAAAACAAAAGCTCCCATTTCACAGCACGTTCAGGAAGGACCTAGCACCTGAATTTTTTGCTAGAAGTGGCTACTGCTACATTTTGGCATGAAGAACACAGATGCTGTGTTATATATATAAAACCTATTAATATGACATACTATTTGAGATTCTCTCAAGTCTCTTGCAAATAGGTGCATTTTAGCATTTTTAGTATATAACAAAGGTATCTTCACTAATTATGTTTATGCTCCATCACTTAGGTTTATCAGACCGCCATGGTATACTCATGATATATTGTGCAATTGTATAGAAATTGTGTAAAGCCCCATAATTCAAGCACAGACTTCTTTGAATGGTAAATCTAAAATCATTAGTATTGGTTCAGATTAATGAAGTCTTGTGATGGCATGTATATATGCATTGTCTGACATCTTCTTTACTAGTTAACCATGCAATATAAAGGATTTTGTACTTTCTAAAGATTATACTGTAAATTCTATTTAAGATTTTTATTACAGATAAAACAGATCTAAATATACTCTGTCACAATCTAAATTTAGTTGTAAAGTGATTTGATAAGCTTCCAAATTGTTTAGATTAAGTAGTTCATTCTTCTTTTTCAGCTGGTTCTTTTGTGGCCTTAACCTTACTAAATAAACCACCAACAGGAGGGGGAACAGTACCAGCTAGTGATCAACCACCAGGTGTCTCAAGGAGAGTGACAGCACCACTTCCTGTTGATGTATGTATCATAGAGATGAAACAGAAAATATAAGCGGCGAAGAACATTGTTTTTTCTCTCTTCCTTATTGGAATTCCAAGAAAAAGTCAACTATCAAATGAGTAATCAAAGTTACTCACCAAAAATCATTGTCAAGTACTTCTGAATCTAGAGTTAAAATTAACATACTTTTGGTCAGCTTTCTGAAAAATTCTTTTAAATAAAACTACGACATCCAGTCTTATCGGTGATGTTAAGTCCTATTTAAGTGTTCAGAGAATACCACACACTCAATTTGTTAATGAGCCTTCAGGCCTAGTATTAACTCTCTGGAGGCGTCCATAGAATACCTGTTGTGGAATTATCTCATATAAGAGTTTAGAGAATGGCATACACTCTGCATGTTAAATTAGCCATTAGGTCTAATATTTACTCTCTGGAGAGGCCCATAGATGTCCCCATATAAGTGTTGGGAGAATGGCATACACTCTGCATGTTAAATTAGCCATTAGGCCTAATATTTACTCTCTGGAGAGGCCCATAGATGAACCCCATATAACCCATTTTTGCAGTTGAATTTATCTGCCTTTTTTCTATAATTGATCCACTTTTTAAATGAATTTGTTCTAACTTCTGATCTAGGTTTGAATATATATGAATTGCCATTAGACATTGAACTAAGAGGTAGTAAAATGTGAAAAACAACCAAGGGATTTCAAACAACTTTTTTTAATGATTTTTTTTTTATTTGCTTTGAAAACTACTAGACAATGGGCTGTGGCTTTATGAGAGGCATTTTCTGAATTGTTTGGGGTTATATAAGGTCATGAACATTTGCTCCTCATAGCATGGATTTATAGTTGCTTAAAAGTAAAAGAGTTCTGAGAAAAATTATTAATTGATCAGATCAAACTAAAAGTATTTCCCTTTCATAAAATGCTCTTTTCATGACATATTGTAAATGTCGTTGAGTCAGCAAAAACTTACACAATTAAAATCTACCTTAATTAAATTTGACCAATATTTTCATAAACACTTCCTTTTTACTGGTAATTGATTGTTAACACAGCAGCATCCTAGAAATTTTCCAACCGAAGGTTGGTGGTTCTCTCTGCGCATTCAGGCTTCCTCCACCAACAAACACTGACCGCCACGAAATAGCACAATAGTGCTGAATGTGGAATTAAACACAAATCAATCAATCAATCAATCCTAGCAACATAGGTTTACATATAACAAAATCCAAATGCACTCTAAAAAAATGTACTGTGCTTCATCAGCATGCAATTTTGTGCCTTGCTACGAGTACAAAACATATAAAATCTATTTTAGTTCTGTTATCGTACATTTAATCAAGAAAATAAGGTTGTTGAATTCAAGCAATGTGCTGCTGTTATTTCAATAATATAAAGAGAATAGTTAGTAGTGCAGGTTATGTAATACAATTTATGTATTGTTGCACACACACGTACACATACACAACAACCTGTAGTACGATAATTATGATTCATATTAATACGATTTTTTTTCTGTCAATTTCTTTTTAACTATTTAGCATATGACATTTAAAAGATTTATACAATATATTTATAAACCTGTTTTATAGAAAACTAGCCTGTTTACATCCTTGTGAAATTTACTTCAATTCAATAGATGGATTGAATTTCAACATAAAAAAAAATATTAGCGATTTTGTTCATGTTGTTGGATTTACAAGATAAGAATACTCCTACTGAGGATAAGCTGAGTTTTATGACAGCATCGTGTCTCAGGTTTTAAAAGTTTAAAAATTGATAATAGGGTGATGACATGTTTTATTTATGAAAAGAATAGTTTATGGTGAACTGAGATTTCTTACAACTAAAATAGAACACATTTCATTTCATTTCATATATGACACTTGAAAATTAAGGGTGCTTTGAATAAAATTAGAAATCTTGTTTTACAACTGGACATCTAGGTACTTTTATAATGTATATGCCTTTCTGTTAACAGAACCTTTTTGTTATACTTTGGTAAAAATTAAACCCCACTCTTAAAGTAGAGGCTATATTTCATTCAGATGCTACTTTTGATGTTCTTCATCTTCACAGTTTCTAGGTTGTCTAGAGCAGAAAGTTTAACAGTCAAACCTTACAACGAAACTAATAAATTTAGGTTACTTCAGTGGAATATTTGGAATTCATCTAAAGCATGTAAAGTTCATAACATCTGGTTGAGTAATTGTACATTTTTACCAAGGTGACCATATTATAAATAATTAACAAGCAGAAAAAAATTGAACTTGAATTTTAATGAATAATTTCAGCTTTTTGTAGTATTTAAATGTTTAAATTTTCAAATTCCCACAGAATTTTCCCAAGGTAAGAAGATAACCTGCTTCCAACCTGTCTTATACTTGATGTCTAGGAGCAATACACCAAATATATATGAACATATATCTAGGTTCAAATTAGTACATGTAGCCGACTCATGCAGTATTATCAGAAAATATGAAAACAAATTTTAATATTTATCGTATATGGACTCATATGCTTGGTGTATTGTCTTTAGATGCTAAGCAATAAAGCAAACTTCGACAGTACTTGAATTTAACAGAGTATAAATTCTGGTGAGGTTTCTCTTGTTTAGATTCAATTGATATCTGTAATTGTAGCACTGCAATACTTATTTCCAAGATATTCACAGTTCTACATTATGTTATACAGACTTGCATGAATGAAAAATACTTAACATTCTTGAATGCATGAAAGAATTAATGAAGACTAATTTCTTAAGTTTCCTTTGGTTAATTGTTTTTCTAATCTTAAATAATAACCAGAATAATCTCTTTTAAATATTTAATTTTTTATAATTCACCACCTTATAGAATTTACTTTATCTGTTGGCTGATAGTCTGGTCACATGATACTATCAGTGGCTTTCATATGATTTCAAAACACTTATTATTTTGGCTCTTGTCACAGATATGGTAAGCAACAATTATTTGAAAATCAGTAAATGTTTATATTGATAATGATAGTTGTAGTAAATTCTAAAAGTTGAATAGAAAAATGATGTTCCATAATTGTCAATGAGACAGCAACCCGAATACCATTTTCTGGCTTTGACTTCATCTGGAATGTTTACAAAAATCTGTAAACCTTAAGCACAAACATAACGTCCGGAACTAAAAAAACCGAATGGGATAAAAAAGTTGGTGAGGGTTGTCAAAGGTCAACTGTGTCTGAGATAGTAATTAGTTCTTACTCTAAGATTTTTAGTAACGATAAAGTAATTTGATGAAGCATATGATAGAAGAAAGAAGACAAGTACTTGAGGGTTTGTGGAAACAATTCTACAGTACTGTTACATCATATGGCTTGTTGCTTTCAAATTTGCATATATCACTGAAATCTTAAGAGAACTTATCAAGTCTCCACGAAAATCACATCAATCTTTTTGGCTAATGAAGTTGAAAATCCTGTCAGATCAGTTTAAAGTCATACTACTAATTGATTTCAAAATATATATAGGGCCAGTTTGTGAAAGTATGGATTATATCACCTTATATGACCATTGTCCAAGGACAAATATAATGGACCTTCACTTATTCTACTGTCTTCCAAATTTATTCTGAATCTGATTATTCATGTACTAAGAATTGACATTTTGATGGCTTTGTGGTCTTTGTGGTCTAATATATTAACATACTCTCTTCATTTTGAGATGACATGTACTAGCAGTCAAGTCTGGATGACTTAAAGATGTGAATATGGATCGGGCTGATTTTCTCCGACATTCAACTGAATGATTGAATTATGTGACATCTGATTTCAGTTGTAATTAGATTGATATAACATTAACTTTTCTAGTGCAAAGTCAGCAGTTACTTCTCTATTGCTAATTACCATCTTTCAAATGTAAAAGTTTTCAAAGTGAAATTTTAATGTTGCTTTTTGCTTATGTTAATAGTATTGAATACAGTGAAACTGAATATAATGTAATATCAGTAAACTCTTTAACTTATAACAGCAGCAGCTAATGCTTAATAATGGAAAGTTGGGTGCTAAAGTATAGGCTAAAATGATATTCAGGGACAGAGGTGTGTAATTGCTTAAGTTCCTTGTTGACAGGAATACTTGTATTTAAATATATGAAACTGTCATTATTAATTGGAAACTTAAACTTGAATTACTTGTTAACAGGAAATTAATAAATACCTAAAATCTTGATTTCGTATCTGATAGCTTAAGTTATTGCTTGATATTTGTAGATTTGATATTAATAAGGTGATGTGGTAGGATTGCCATGATTTTCATCTTTCAGAGTCCAAATGTGGTGGATGTTAGCAACTATAAATCACAGTATGACCTTCAACAATGAGCAAAATCTGCGGCTCTTTTCACAAAAAATCTTAAGAGTAAAATTACTCGTAAGTAATACACATTTCAGTATAATGTACGATCAATTTTATCGAAAGATATTTTGTGAAAAGAGTTGCAGTACCGTATAGTCAGCTATAAAATGTTCTGACATGACAAAATCTGAAATAATTCAAACACGAAAACCAAGGGCCTGATTTATGACTGCGCATTAAACGGATTAATCATGTTTGAAATAGCAGATAAAACATAAGAGACTTAGGAATTGTGGTAATGAGACAGCAACCTAACAATACTATTAACTGAAACTAAAGTCTAGAGGTTAATATAAATTTGCTGGTTTTATGCTGCTAAAAGTAAGGGACTATTCTGATTAACCAACCAATACACACATACAAAAAGTTACTGTTGTCTTTACCAGACAATAAAATGTTACTTATCATTGTTAATTAATAATCGGTAGAAATCTGACATGGTTTATACATGTTTTGATCTGTTTTATCATCAGACATATACATTTATCTACGTCATAGCATGTCGGTCAAAGAAAAGACATCTTTTATTTTCTATTTTTATTCGCAGACATTAATTCATATTTCCATATTATTTCATCTCATTCAAAGTAGCAAGATGTAACAAAGAAGTAATTAAAAGATTTTTGGTCATATATACTGTGGACTTATATTTATAAGTGGAGTACTCATTTTTCTTGTTATCACTTGGACATGTAAACCATACATTCCAGATTCTAACAATACATATTTACAGTAGGTCTTCATTATACATTGCATAATATTGGTCTTTCTATTGGTTTATATGCAGTCACATGATGTTATTATATGGATTTCATATTGTATGAAAACATGTTACTGTTGTAATTTGAATTAAAGGAGGTGTGGGGTATATTTCAACGAGACAGCAACCCAATGACACAAATAACCAAAGACATCTATAGACTCTTTGCATGAGCCACCATGGATGTTGTGCTTAACAAAAGATAAACCATTTAAAATTATTTCTCATAACATTTATTTGTACTGTTTGATTTGTTTATTTATAAATAAATATGTTAACATATGGATATAAAACAATAATAATTGATTGTTAATAAATATACCTATTATATATATCATATATGTATGGTTCATTTTGTAGTAGCTCATGTTTATTATATATGCAATTATATTTATCAGGATGAATCTTGGCACAGATTTATGTGAACAATTAAGAAAGGACTTTTACAATTTGTTTTGTGATGATTTACATTGACTGCATGCTACATGGACTACTAACCATCTGTGCAATACATTGACAATGTAATTGATCATGTCAACAGAAAAAAAACTTCCATCATCGATGATTATGTTTTACAAGTTTAGAGTGAATTTATTTGTAAACAATTTGATAAATATCATTGAACTGAATGTTTTGTTCTTCTTTCAGGACCGTAAATCCAAAGAATTAGCCGTATCTAAATTAACCGAGTTAAAGAGATATTATGACTTGGCTTTAGAAGATTTACAGGTAATATAAGCAGTTTGTTTTCTAGTATTTCTAATTTTCTAGGGGCCTCGGTGGCCGAGTGGTCTAAGTAGTCGAACTACTGTATTACTAGCCAGTCAACATTGAGGTTGTGAGTTTGAATCCTGCACGGAGCAGGTGCTCTCGACTTCAATCTTAATTGACTAGTATTGTCAGTTTTCCTACCTAAGGGTTGTGGTTCTCTCTGGCACTCCAGCTTCCTCCACCAATAAAAACAGACTGTCATGATACACCACAATAGTGCTGGAAGTGGCATTAAACACCAATCAATCAATCATAAGGGTTAGGGATAGGTTTAAGGGCTAGGGTTAGTGTTAGGGTTATGTTTTGGTAAGAGTTATTTTTAGTGTTTGGGTTAATCTAGTGTAGCCTTATATAGATTGGGTACCTTAAAAAAAATGAAGGCCAATGATAATAAATGAATTCACAGTATTATAAGGGAAGTCTCCCAACTCAAAGCATCAAACTTTTATTTTATCTCTTTGCATCTTTACATTGTTCATATATCTTTTTAGAAAAAAATGAATTTTTGTGCAGACAAACTGAATAAGATTAAGGAATGTTTGCTAATTATTTCAATGAAATTCATATCAAATAATCCATTTGCTTATATCATTGAGAAAATTAAATACTGTGGAATCATTATCATTTGTTGTTATTTTCATGGCTTTCGTTGGTACAGGTGAACCACAATTTAAATGTTAACAAAGTACAAATTTCTCTTTTCATTTGTCATGTATGCAGACTTGGGCAAAAAAATTGAAAAAACAATGTTTCCTTAATCCACGTAAATTGATGCCCACAAATATAAATGAATTCACGGTATGTTATTGTCATGATTGTGTTTTTGTGTTTTATATCTCACACTTGCGGAAATCTTTCTAATATTTTGAGTGTTTTTTTTACTTATAGCAAATTAAAAAAGAGTATAACAGAAATCCATCAGCCAAATTAGGATCACAGATAGTAGACAAAGAAAAGACAGTCAAGAAATTAGAAGAGCAGTTAAAGGTTCTTACTCCTTCTGTTACTTCTCTGTCCCATGTAAGTCCGTTCTCATAGAGAGCATGACTCGCATGGTGAGATACACTTCATACTACATAGTGCTTATTTTTATGGTAGAAAAAAATATAACTTAAAACAATCTCCAAAATAGAGGCGGTAGTCATGGAGGAAAAAGTTATAGCTGAAGACAATGGGGTCAAATATCATGATAGAAAAAAAAATGATGCAGTTGAAGGCGACCAGCCTAGAGGATGGCGGAAAAAGATAAAGCTAATGAAATCCTACCAAATTTAGAGAAATTAGGCATTTGAGCATCAACCCCTTTGCCACACTAATCTCTGACATCATGGATTTAAAAATTACTGTATTAACTTATTATTCATCTGCAAATAGTCTGTATAAAGTGTGGTATTGCAATATAGGAGAACAAGGATAAGTCTGTATAAAGTGTGGTATTGCAATATAGGAGAACAAGGATAAGCAAAGGAGAAAGTTACCTCTATTTTGGAGATGTAATCAAAGAAAAGATAATAATATTATAAAATAGTTTTAATGGAAACTCTTCCTCTTTTCAAATGAGAAATGGAGTGGAAAAATAATAAGTTTTGGTTTATACCAGAAAATTAAGCACTATGCAGTACGTTTATTTTGATTGATGGCTGTAAATCCACAGAAGCTGTAAATTGTTTACCATCACTGGTACTTTAACGTATATATACACCCATCCTTACACAGCATGGGTTCTATTTGAAAGAAAATTGAAAATGCTTGTTTTATAAATGTATACATGGTATAGTATGGGTGATGTAGAAGTTACATTATCATTTCCCTTGTAAATATCCATGTCAACATTTAGAGGTTGCATGTTCAACTAAACCACACCTAGTTTTACCTTTGCTTTGATTTACACAATGAATTTATGTGATGAAATACATCATGTGTATTTGTATTTAAACTATTTGCATATCACTTTTTTTTTTTTTAAAAAGACATATACATGTATTTAGATAGGTGAATTAGGGTTTCACAATTTCAGGGTTCATTCTTCTACCACCAACACTAACTAAATTGTGGTGAAGTTCTACAAAGTTCAGCTATACAGATAGTATCTTCTAGTATTCATGTGATTTTAATTTATTCCCTATGAAAACACATAATGATATTAGGAAAACTGAAAAAAAACCAAATAGCAATAATGTATAGTCTTGCCTCTGTCACGGGAGGGGGCATTAAGTATTATCCTTGTACATCCGTACGCCCCTAACTTAAGTTTGCCTCAACCAAATGTTATGATACTTATACACAATGCTTATAACCAAAAAACACAGAACAATTTGGAATTTGGGTGGCGTCACTTTTACCGTTCTAGAGTTATGCCCTTTACAAATGGAAAAATTGCTGAATTTTTCTTTTCCGTTCTCTAATTAAAGTTTGCTTCAACCAAATGTTATGAAACTTACACACAATGCTTATTACCACAAAACTCAGATCATGTTCGAATTTGGGTGGTGTCACTTTTACCCTTCTTGAGTTATGTCCCTTAATAACGTTATATGCAAAGGGGGGTATCTGTGTCCCGTGGACACATTCTCCATTCATTTTAATCAGAATTGCAAAATTTAATATATAAGACATGTAAATTAAACCTCATGCATGAATACCACACTATTTGTAGACTTGGCTTAAAGCATTCACACTCAAAAAACATAATTTGCAAATCTTTTAAGTGCTTCAAAACTATATTTTTAAATGGTGAAGAAAACACAGTTGTAATGTTATATATGTATAATGTTCAAGCTTTAGAAAATAGAAAACAAATCAAGTCTAACATGTTTGAGGGTACTTAACCACCCCCTTAACCCAGGACAGTGTTACAACAGAACAAAATATAAAAATTAATTAGAAAAAGCTTGACTAATAAGATCTACACTAAGCACAAAAAAAAAACCCAAATAAAAAGATAAAAAACATAAGCTACCATACCCAGTTACTGAAAGCTAGTTCAAGGCCAGTTTCAACTATAAATAAACCATGTTATCCCACACTAAGATATCAGTCAGTACACATCTGACAGATTTAGTATAAAGATGTCGTAAACAGTCTGAGAAAAAAATAACCTTGTGCACTACTGATATTCTAGTTTTGTAGCAGAAACTTGCATAAATTGTTTATTCCACAAATGAAATAATTGTGATAAAATAAGACGACACAAGATTTTGATCTGAATAAATGGGGAACATGAAATAATCAAGTTTTACAGTGGAGTTTGTTATTTCATTGAAATACTGGATAAACATCATGTTTTGTTCATACATATATATATATTTGTATTTTACATAGAACAATGGAAATTATTTTATATTTCAGGTTCAGCATTCAGATTCAGCACCAGAGTTAGGTCAGCTTGATCAGCAGCCTGTCACTTCATGGGTAATTATCCAAAATATTTTTTGTTTCTTTTTCAATAATTAAACAGATTTATTGAATGGTTTACAGGTTTTCACATGCTTTTATATTTGCCATTAGGGTTTTTTGTCTTTCAAATTAAATATGTTAAATAAACTAAGATTTATTTTTTATCTGTACATGTATTGCTGATTTGGATGAAATTTTAATCCATTTTGATGTAAATCACTTATTATTTTACCCCTTCCTCCATATTGATGTCCTTTTTATGTCTGTTTCTTTTATATTTATTCCAAAGATGATATTAAGTCATTACAGACTAATCCAGTTTAATATTGTACATATTTTAATGAGTTAAGGTTTCAATTGAGGATTGTGCCTATGTTTTCTTTTTTGGCTCAGAGTATAAGCTCTGCTATAATTTGTCTTATTTATCCTTAAATATTCCGTGCTTATAATGAAATGATGTTGTAACTTGTCTGGAGGAAAGAGATGACTCCTTTTGACTACAATGAATTAAACACTTTTAATTTAATTTGATCCTGATTGAATTTTTTGTATCAGAAACCTGTTGAATTTACATTGTTTTTCCCTTAGCTACCTAGTGGACCCCTTCATGTAAAACATAGGTCCACACCAGCTTCTTTTAACAATAAGCTGAATGCTGGAGTGTCAAGGTCAATGTCTGATGCTGGCACTCGCAGAACCAAACTACAATTACCACGCCATCACTATAGCATCAAATCAGCTGATATTAGTCCGGAGGTAATCTCCCCTTGTCATGCTCACTAGTTCATTGCACTAACACCGTGACAGATCCAGTCCATTTGAACAATATGTGTTTACAAAAACATTCCAAGAAGTTAGAATGTTATTTTTAGGCCATAGCTAAAATTTAAGTTTGCCATAGAATAACCAACTATAAAAGAATATATTTGGATTTAATGGGTTAAGATGTGTTTTGCTCTCATATATTTGATATTATTTAAATTTGATTTGAATTTTACTCTTTTTGATGTCTTGTTGTATTTATATAATTGTTAGAAGAAGAAAGTTAAGACCCTCTAGACAGTAAACATTATGGTAGAACTATTTTAGATATGGCCTAACAGGTAGTACAGACAATTCAAAATGAGGAAATGGGGTATCAACCTGCCCTTGCACAATTGTCTTTTGCATGCACATCCTAACGTCATACAATAACTAATATTTGAAATTTGACTACCTTAAATTTAGAAATATATGCCATATTTTTATTAATGCGAAAAATGCAACAGTATCAGGTTTGCAATAATAAAAACTTGCACTCATAATTTCAGTAGATATTTTCCTACAAAAATTTTCAATATCACATTAATTAGATTTCACAATTTTATCAGAGGTGGAGGATTTACAATAATTAATGAACGCATTAATCTCTGAATTTACAGTATAGGAAATACTGTGTTTTCATGACAGACAAAAATATACAGAAATGCATTCCAAGTTTGAAAACACCCTAAGACATTCATTGTCTGATTAAAGATACCCTAATATGAGACTTTAAAATAGTGTACTCTTTGTCAGTTCTTTTCATGGTAAGATCTATTGCTTCCCTATCGCCACCTTCACAAAAATCTTTAAGGCTTACTGGCCCAAAAATTAGTATATCTATATTGCTTATAACAAGAAACTTGTTTGTAGTCCTACTGCTTTCAATGGCCTACGCAGGCGGACTTGCTGTTATTCATGTAGATTGCTATTGTTTTCAAAGCTTAGTTTACCATACTTAGTATATAACAACTGTCAAGTTATTTAGATAGAAGAATGCCACAAAGAGTACAATGTTATTTTATACACAACAATCTTTAATCAGGGGATGAACAACCCGTCCAAATCCTGGGTATCGGCTAAATTGATGTAAGAATTCTGGATCTGTCACATTTGTTAATTGCACGGCATACATCATTGACAACAAATTAGGTTTACCAACAATTTCAAACCAGTTTTGTTTCTTTGAAGAATATTTTGTTTACATTATTGAGATATTTTGAAGAACATGAATTTTGAGAGTTATTTTGAGTTATTTTGAGAGTTTATTTGCCATAACAATTGCAAGATGCTTTTCTTTTAAATTGAAAACATATTTGATTAACTATTGAATTTTGAAAGCATGAGGAAATTTTTGTAGAAAGCATGTTTAACAAATCTTAAGTATTTTAATGCATTACGTAACAGAAATAAAAAAGCTAATTAAGAATTGAATATGACAATTATATGTAGATGTGTTCCCAATTTAGATTTCAAAAGTGAACTTTTGTCATTAAAAAGCAACGTGCCAATGAAAGATCAGCTATGCGTTTATTAGTATAAACAATTTTTTTCTTCTAAAATTTCTCCATATGAAAGTTTAAATTTATACAAGGAATAATATAGATGATACTAAACTACAGACTAAACAGGTGTATATATAGAATCTTTATGGTTTAAAGCTTTTTGTTTTTTAAAAATTTAAAAATGAAATATATTTACATATTCATATAAATGTGTAAGCCTCTCCAGGAATTTATATTTTGGTGACAGTATTTATGTAATTTGCTTAGAAGATAGCTGATTAGTTTAAAGTTTCCTGGTATATTTTATTTTCCGAAGGAACTGAGAACTGCAAAGCTTTAAGTGTTATTCTGTGAATAAAAATAAGATATACTTTAAATCATTCGGGTCTATGATTATTTAACCTTTTGTAAACTATAACATTACATTACTATATGTATGAATATACAGAGCTACATGTATATATAACATACCTATGTCTGATTGTCTGTAGCGATATGTGATGCCCTTTGTAGCCAGAAGGAAGTATGCTGTTAGAAGGAACAGTAGACCTATTAATAACATTGTAAGAGGTTCAACACTTAACTTCACATTGTTTTCCTATGTTCAAGCACAGTTTTATAATTATTATTATTGAAAGACCATCATGTGAAAGGTAATTGAAGTTTAAATGCATGGACTAACTAAAAAGTTCCCTATACTATATACAGAGTTAAAAATAGACATTGGTCAATAGGCCTGGCAATCATTGGGTCAATCTGCATTTCCCAAGAGATCATCATGACACAGAATGTACCCTTGGAAAAAGATATTACAGCAAAGTAACTGGTTTATATATAATGTAAATACTATAGGTAAAAACACAGACTTGTCTTGCAACTTTAACTTTTTTCCACAATTAGATTTAAAAAAAACCATTGTGGTAAAATGTAAAAGTTATTTAAACAAAAGTTAATATTATGACAGAATTTCTAATTTCTGTTAAAAATTTTAATGGATTGTTTAGTTTAAAATATATATATTATAGTAATTATATTTAAATGTACAATCACATGAAATCCTGTTACATGTATTTTATATTTCCTTGTTCTCTATGGGAAAGGAAAAGCCTCCCTCATTCTATAGATCTGATCAAATTTATATCTATATGAATCAGTAAGTTGAAAGGTCATTGATTTCAGTATGGTATTGGTCAGTAGGTGTATTGAGTGTTACTTATTTCAGGACATAGGATATCACAATATACATTGATATGTATTTATATATTTATTCCAACAGCATTTTCATTTTGATAGTTCAAAGCTAATAAACAAATAGAATTTTAATTCAACAGTGCTTTATTAAAATCCCATTATGGTTGCACCTATATACAAATATTAAACAATTTATTTGACAAAGAAAATCAGGCCTTAAATGAGAAATACTCTTATGTCTTTTGGTTATTTTTGTTGTTAGGTTGTTGACCTAGAGTTATTTACCCCACATCTATTTAATGACTATTTTTATGTTTGGTTTTAGTTTTCAAATAAATTATGAATACAAAGTTTATGATCAACAGATACATTTTATGTTTACATTGAATTTGCAGAAAATGGTGTTTTAAGGAAGATGTTTTGTTTTCAAATGAAAAAAAAGATTAATTCATTTAATATAAAGTTTGCATGCCTTCGTTCTATTGATTCATAGAAATTATTAATGGGAGTAGAACAAAATTTGTAGAAGGAAAAATGAAATTTAACATTTTGTTATTTTAAGAAAGCCTATTTTCTTTACTACAACTGAATGATAAAACTGCATGGTTATATGTTTTTCTTAAGTTTTGACATATTGTACTAATTCAACTTTTTGAAAAATGGTTAAACCTATGGCCATTATGTTTTTAAATTACTGTGACCATTTAACTTGAATTATCTCAAAGCTATAAATGTAATAGTATTGATTTTCTTTTCCACTAACCAGAGAAATTTTTGAGAATGAGATGAAGACACCAAGTTTTTTCACTGTAATTCTGTCAAATGAACTCTAAATTTTTCTTGTATTAAAATTTTGATTTTTTTTGTTTCAGCCTACAACAACTTTAGACGGAGGTAATACTTCAGAATCTCCTACGATCAGTCCAAGTTCATCTCCCACACCGATTCATGCACGTAACTTAACGATCCAAAGTGAAGACAACGATTCGGTTTCATCTGGTACCACTAAAGATTCTGGTTATGATGTAAGTAGATAAAAAAAAATCTCTCGTATATTTATGTAATCAAATTTGATGTAGGAAAAACTTGGAGACAGCAGCCAACCAACTAAAGGTTACAAAAATAAACATCTAGAGACCACCAAAGGGTTTTCAATGATAACAAGCCGTTAAACCATCTATGTTCGAGGATTTAAACAAACTGTAAATTTAAGGAAACGAAACTTCACATGAAATCTATGGCCATTGTATTGAATCACTGATATTTTACAGTAAAAAGAGCCAGAGCGGTTCACATTTTTTTGGATTGCTGATGTTTTACAGTAAAAGAGCCAGGGAGGTTCACATTACAGTAAGTTAAAGGTAGGGAGGTTCACATTACAATAAAAGAGCCAGGGAGGTTCACATTACATTGAAAGAGCCAGAGAAATTCATATTACAGAAAAAGAGCCAGGGAGGTTCACATTACAGTGAAAGAGCCAGTGAGGTTCACATTGTATTGAATTGCTTATGTTTTACAGGAAAAAAGCTAGAGAGGTTCACATTGTGTTGGATTGCTGATGTTTTACAGTGAAAAATCTAGAGAGGTTGACATTCTGTTGGATTGCTGATATTATACAATAAAAGCTTTTGTATGATGTCGTAGACGTAGATATATTGACCTGATACAAAGGCTGCAATTGTTATATTATTATTGTCAATAGGCCTAAAATAGAACAGGAATTCATTTGAATGGTTGTTACTATTACATCACAAAGTATTGAGGGTTTTAGATTTGTATTTTCAGATATTTTAGAAATAAAACTGCATATCAATTTGTACTGTTTTCAGTCTACCTTTGATAAAACAGTTAACTTGTGAACTTAATGATTTTTCACAGGAGTGTAGTCAAGTTGGTTCTTTAGGAGGGAGTGGTAAAGCCCAACAAGACATTATAGCCATGGAAGACGATGAATTTTCTGACGAAGAGCCATCAGGCATAGTAAGTCTCAGTTTGTACAAATACATTTATAGCGATTAATAGCCACAATATCTAAAAAATTCAGTTTACATTTTTAACAATATCCTCTGCAGTTGTCAGCCAATTATACTCTAATTAAATTTTTTGAGCAGAACTAGCATTATCAGAGTAAAAAGGGAAATTTATTGTTATAATACAGTGAATTATAACTGCTTTCAAGCTTTAAAATGCTTGTGCAATAACTGTGTGATAATATATTTCCGACCATTAATTATTGCACACAGACTTTCCTAGCACTTCACAACTATTCATTAAACTGCTTTATGACAATCACTCTACCTTATCAAATTTTATTCAAAATCAGTTAATTATTTATCAATGACGAAAAAAATAAAAAAGAAGACTATAAGTATATAAACGTTAATAAGATATAAAGAACATATAATACTATTTGTGGAAGTTTTCTTTAAGAGATTTCAGATATCACTATCTGTGAAATACTTTTTCACTTATGATTGTCATAATTACACAGCTTTAAGATGTAAAACAGGTCACATATAACTGAATTTGCTACATTGGAAGTTTATTTGTTGATTTACCTTCCCCAGGAACACTCAAGAGTATTAATAGTGAAAGTCTCTAAGATGTATAAATATATTTGTCAGCTAAAGAACTAAAGCAGTAGCCCAAACTGACTGTCAGCTATGTCTGTGAGAGTAAAAAATGATCAACTGATTTTTTTCAAAATGTATTTTACTATCCAACCATCCAACCAATGTCTTAGCAATGACTAATTAGTAGGGAGCAATGATGTCTTTCTAGCAATGATAGGGTTAAGTCAAACACAACTTTTCTTTGTTGGAAGACCTTTTCTGAAAAGACAATTATGGAAAAGACGAGCACTTATCCAATTATAGTAATGTTTAATATCACATCGATAATACGATTACATTTTTTCACTTCTTTGAACTAATATAGAATTAATTTTTATGGAATCTTTTAACTTGCTTTGACTTTTGAAATCATTTAAAGCTTATAAAATTTGATTTGACACTGCTTTGGTGATGGTTTCAGTATATGGAGAGAAGGAAATCGTCGAACTCTAACGCCTCTCATTTCCTGACACGGTTACAGAATTTAGAGGTTTTATTTTTTACTTTGTAGCACTAACAACCTCTTATAACTACCTCTCTATATAACTCCTGAGTGATTGTCAAAATATAAGAAAAAAAGGGGAGTCAGACGTCAGATTGTCAATTAAATTTAAAAATAGACGATTTGTTATCGTCTATTAATAGTTTATGTTAGGATATCTATTCAGAGCTAAATCCAAAAAAGCCAGCAATTACTGTCGCAGTCTGTTTGTTAATCCAGATGATTGCCAGTTCATAAACTTCTAAGAATTAGAACTATTTTTTCAATCATTTTTATTCTTCAGTTTTTTGGTTATATTCTTTTAAGGATAAACACTGGACAGATTTAGATGATTAGTTTCTGTAAGACTTTTAGAGATTATATGTAGAAGACAAGTCAATGTCTTGTTTAATTGTGAATAATATCAATGAATTATACCAAACAGCTCTTTTGTCAAAGAATTTTTCCCAAGGTTTGATACTCCATCAACTAAGAAAAGAAAGTTCGAGTAGAAGTTCTAAAACTTTAATGAGATGTGTGTCCAAAATCAAGAAAAATGTTAAATTATATTACTGAATGACTAAACAAAGGGTTTACATCTATGTGTAAATACTTTACTATCAAAATATTTACTAGACCCTTAAATCTATCATGTTGGTTGTTATGTAAAATTTCAAAATTTGAGTGTTCATTGTTTTATTTTCCGTTTAAGAATTAATTTGTTAGTACTATAAGACCTATATAACAGTCACTTGGGTAGTTAGTTTGCAGCATTTTTGCCTGAATAAAAGGGTCATAGGTCAGCTATATATTCATATAACTAGATTGAACAATTTGCATAAAAAAGAATACATTTTTTTTTTATCTTTGAAAACTTTCTTGTTTAAAAAGAAGATTGAAGAAAATCCTTAATTGCTTTTATTCTCATAAATAGTAAATGCACCCAGTTTAGATGCTTTAATATATATTTTTATTGCTTATTTTAGTTTTTTCCAACCTTTATTTCCACAGCTTAAAGTGCTCTGTCAACCCTTTCCAAATACTTTTTTTTCCATTTCAAAATACTAGTAAATAAAAGATCAATTTATAAGTGTATTAACTGGAAGGTGTTTATTTACATCTGTTGCATGGTGTACTTTGTCATCTAACTTTTAATAAAGAAATACTTATAAATGTGTGAAAATTTATTTCATCCATTAAAATAGATAATTGATATAATTTGATTGTATAATGTATATATTTTTATGGGTAGAGAGTATCCTTTAGAATGATGCTTATATTGCATGCTCTCATGAATAAAATTATTTTTACCCATATTTAATTAAAAAAATACAACTTATTTTTCCTCAAATATTTAGGTTTTGGTATATTAAAATTAAACAATTTCAATTAAAATAGCAATACTGATATGGGTGATGGGGTAAGCTTTCTTATGCTTTTACAAGTCCCAGCACTTGGGGATTTGAAAATTATACATATATATATGCATATATGGAAAAATTCTATAACTTCCAATGCAATTAGAATATTTAAAGTATTCATTGTTTTTCGTCTTTTTTCTTTGAGTCAGTAAACCTGAAAAGAAATTCAGATATCAATTTAAGTAGAAAAAACTTTTCTTTGTGGATTACATAATGTAAGAAAAGGTCAGATTTCAAAATTTAGAGATTTATAATCAGAAACTAAAACAAAATATTATGTAAGATAATGAGTTCATTGAAATAAATCATTCATGTTAAATTTGAAAAGTAAAGTGATCTACATTTGTAGACTTTACATACATCATGTTTTATTGTGTTCTGACCAATTTTTGGTCGTACATTGACGATATGATCACTATCTCATCAATCATACATATACCATCCAATTGCTGTACTGTCTTATGTTTGATTGTTTTTCACCGAACCTTGTTTCGTTATAGGTTAACAATGGCGCTTTCAGCAGTCTGAAGTTGCTTGAGAGTAGACCTCCACACCTGGCTGTATTTCTTAATTATGTTATGACTATGAGTCTAGACCCTTCAAGTCTGGTAAGTCCAGGTGTTAAGTTGAAGAAAAGTCAAATTCACTTCCATGAAGTTAGAATTTACTGCTATCATGCATATTTTCATAGTTTTATGATATGGCCATGCAGGTTCTACAAAAAAATTTGTGAAATAAAGATTGATATGGCTGCATCATGTTTCAATGCAGATTTTTTACCCTCACACTTGTTCATGGTCCATTGACTTTTGATGATTGTGCATAGTTCATATGTTAAAAGTTTTGTGATTCAAATTTCAACAGTTACATTACACTATCAAAATTACACACAGGCAATACATATATCTGTGTCAACAGTTTGTTGTATGTTTAATTACACAAGTTTTACTTTGTATTACAGATACACATCTGTGTCCACAGTTTGTTGTATGTTTAATTACAGAAGTTTTACTTTCTATTACAGTTATTTTACATAGTGTCTGGTTACTATCGGACTACTCCTGGTACATGTAAAGAATTAAAGAAATGGGCCTTCGAAATCTATTCCACTTTCCTTGTGGCAGCAGGATCGGTAAGTTTACACTGAAATGCAATGGTAACATTGATATTTTGAAAATTTAAAGTGAACAGGATTTAGATGATCATTTATTTACCAGAGTAATCTTAATTTTAGCAACTATCTTTTCTTTTTTTGTTGAAAATCTGAAAACATTACGGTTTTCACAAATGAGTTTTTTTGTTGCAGATACTGGAACTTTTTTTTCAAGCCACAGCAAATGTTATTTCAATAATCGTTATTATCACAGAATTTTATTATATTACTGCCGATTCATTTATTTTTCGTGGGTACTAACTTTCATGCATTGAGGAAAAATTGGATTTTTGTGTAAATTTGATTCTGTGGTTTTACAAAAGTGAGCTTACAAGCCTATAAACAATTTATACTTTGTTAAATATTTAAATTTTTGGTTTACCTGTACCAACAAAATCAACAAAAATTGTTTACCCCACAAATAATGTTAATGAATCCACAGTATCATATTTTTTCTTATTAATATTTTTATTATGTGTTCTAATTTCAGCCTTTAAAACTGAATGTGGATGAAAGTATAAGTGTAGAAATAGACAATATATTAGTGTATAGAAATGATAAGGAGGATATATTACGGAAAGTCTTTGATCATGCACGATTAAGTGTACAGACAGAATTACAAAATATGCTGCAAGAATTTTGTGCCAAAAAAGAAATAGGTAAGACTTGTACTAATGTAAAAATAAAGAGATGTGGTATGATTGCCAATGAGACAACTATCCACCAAAGTTCAAATAAAGTGGATGTAAGCAGTTATAGGCAACCGTATGGCCTTCAACAATGAGAAAAACCCATACCGTAGTCGGCTATAAAAGGCCCAGACATAAAAAAATACACTTTTTTTAAAGGATTGGAGGTAATACCATTTATCTCAATCATTAACAAAAGTTGCACTTCATTTTTTATACGCCCGTCAAATTTTTGACGGGACATATTATGGTATACAAATGTCCGGCGTCCGGCCGTCTGTCTGTCTGTCCGGCGTAAACATGTCGCACCGTAACTTGAGAATGACTTATCCAAATTTCATGAAACTTAACATAGTTGTTTCTTATGATGGTCAAACGATCTGTATACGTTTTGGTGAAAATAACATTAAAACTTTTTGAGTTACGGGACTTAGTTACTAAAACAGATGTGTGTTTTTTTTCACATGTCGCGCCGTATCTCAAAAACAATTTATGATTATTGCTTAAAACTTTACACACTTCTTAGTTGTATTAATCTAAAGATCTGTATACTTTTTGATGATGATTCAAAATTTTATTTTAGAGATATTGAGTATTTCGTTAAAAAAGGGGGAGGGGTTTTTCACATGTCACGCCGTATCTCAAAAACAGTTTATGATTATTGCTTAAAACTTTACACACTTCTTAGTTATATTAACCTTAAGATCTGTATACTTTTTGGTGATGATTCAAAATTTTATTTTTGAGTTATTGAGTATTTTGTAAAAAAAGGGGGAGGGGTTTTTCACATGTCGCGCCGTATCTCAAAAACGATTTATGATTATTGCTTAAAATTTTAAACACTTCTTAGTTATATTAATCTAAAGATCTGTATACTTTTTGGTTTTGATTCAAAATTTTATTTTTGAGATATTGATTTTTTTTTTTTTAAAAGTGGGGTTTTCACATGTCGTGCTGTATCTCAAAAACGATTTATGATTATTGCTTAAAATTTTACACACTTCTTAGTTATATTAATCTAAAGATCTGTATACTTTTTGGTTTTGATTCAAAATTTTATTTTAGAAATATTGAGTTTTTTGTTAAAAAAGGGGGAGGGGTTTTTCACATGTCGCGCCGTATCTCAAAAACAGTTTATGATTATTGCTTAAAACTTTACACACTTCTTAGTTATATTAACCTTAAGATCTGTATACTTTTTGGTGATGATTCAAAATTTTATTTTTGAGTTATTGAGTATTTTGTAAAAAAAGGGGGAGGGGTTTTTCACATGTCGCGCCGTATCTCAAAAACGATTTATGATTATTGCTTAAAATTTTAAACACTTCTTAGTTATATTAATCTAAAGATCTGTATACTTTTTGGTTTTGATTCAAAATTTTATTTTTGAGATATTGATTTTTTTTTTTTTAAAAGTGGGGTTTTCACATGTCGTGCTGTATCTCAAAAACGATTTATGATTATTGCTTAAAATTTTACACACTTCTTAGTTATATTAATCTAAAGATCTGTATACTTTTTGGTTTTGATTCAAAATTTTATTTTAGAGATATTGAGTTTTTTGTAAAAAAAAAAGGGGGTTTTCGCATGTCACGCCGTATGTCAGAAACTATTTATGCTTATTGCATAAAAATTCACACACAAGACGACGGGCGTATCATGCGCTCATGGAGCTGTTTATTTGCATATAAAAGACAAGACAAAGTCCATATAAAATTTATTATCAACAATTTAGGAATTTAAATAAAAGTGGTTTGGTGTCAGAATTTAATATTATTTTGGGGGTGAACTTCAGAAGATTGCACTAAATGCAGCCTATTGTTTGGTTAGCATTATTTCAAATCCTTCTCTACTTATTTTTTTAGATATACACACAAGATAATACATTGAGATGTACATTTTGATAATAAAAATAAAAATAAAAATAAAAAAAATAAAAATAAAAATAAAAAAAATAAAAATAAAAATAATAATAATAATAATAATTATTCTTTATTTGAAGATGACTCAATAGTTGGTTGAAATGGTAGAGATTATACAAGTTTTGATGCCTTTAAAGAAATTTTTATAACAGAATTTACTCTTAATAGCTGAATGAAAGATTTTGACTTGGAAACAAAATATACCTAAAACATTGAAGAACTTTATAACAAAAAGGGTCTAAAACAAAAAAGCCAAAACCCAAGGTCAGCTTTGTATGTTGGAGTTGCAGTCTTAGCTTGAGTTCAATTAAATATTTTATAAACTGAAGATTTGATATACTAAAAGCCTGGCAGTATGACATCCATGTTTTTATCAACCATTACCCACTCCATCTTTGTAGATGTTTTCTCAGAATTCAATGTGCGATTTATTATATTTTTGTTATTGGGTTGCTGTCAAATTGATGTATACCTCTCATCTCCCCTTATTCATATATAATGATTGAAAAGTGTTTTGATCTTTCTAGGGTTTGCTTCTATGTTTGGTGCTCATGAGTTAAAGGACATAATGAAGAAAAATGAAGAAATAGCTGTTGTAGAAAAATATGTAATGCCTCATCTAGACAGGTGCTTGTAAGTATTTAGATAAAATAAACAAAGTTTTAATGTTCTTAAAATGCTTGTATACAAAATGATATGGATTACCAGAACAATATATTGTTTCAGAATAACTGAAAATAGATGAAGGTAAAAAAAAAAAAAAAAAACCCCTCCAATACATGTACTTTGTTCTCAATCTAACTCACTTTTTTGAAGTTGATCAACTCCCTTTTCAGAACCCACCTATTAGATAATTGTACTTTGTTCTCGTCCTGATCAACTCCCTTTACAGAACCCACCTATTAAATAATTGTACTTTGTTCTCGTCCTGATCAACTCACTTTACAGAACCCACATATTAAATAATTGTACTTTGTTCTCGTTCTGATCAACTCCCTTTACAGAACCCACATATTAAATAATTGTACTTTGTTCTCGTTCTGATCAACTCCCTTTACAGAACCCACCTATTAAATAATTGTACATTGTTCTTGTCCTGATCAACTCACTTTACAGAACCCACCTATCAAATAATTGTACTTTGTTCTCGTCCTGATCAACTCCCTTTACAGAACCCACCTATTAAATAATTGTACTTTGTTCTCGTCCTGATCAACTCCGCCGTAGCGGAGGGGGCATTATGTTTTACCCTTATCCGTCTGTACGTACGTACTTACGTTCCAAAATTGGTTTCCGTTCTCTAACTTGAGTTTGCCTCAACCAAATGTTATGAAACTTATACACAATGCTATTTACCAGAAAACACAGATCAAATTTGAATTTTGGTGGCGTCACTTTAACCGTTCTAGAGTTATGCCCCTTTATAAATGGAAAAATTGCAAAATTTTCCCTTCTCTAACTTAAGTTTGCCTCAACCAAATGTTATGAAACTTGTACACAATGCTTATTAACACAAAACACAGATCAAATTTGAATTTTGGTGGCGTCACTTTAACCGTTCTAGAGTTATGCCCCTTTATAAATGGAAAAATTGCAAAATTTTTATTTTCTTCTAAATATCAAGTAATTTTTAAAATTGGAGTTATCTTCCTTTGTCCATGATTATAGTTGAATCAACTGCAATCAATGCTTTATACAATGCAATGTTTAATTTTGACTTCCACTGATAAAACACAGATCAAGTTGAATTTGGGTAGTGTCACTTTAACAATTATTGAGTTATGCCCCTTTATAAATCGAAAGATTGCAAAATTTTTAGTTTCCATTCTGTAACTTAAGTTTGACCCAACCAAACATTATGAAACCAATATACAATATTCATTACCACAAAACTAAGATCAAGTACACATTTTTTGTTTCTATTTTCTTACTTTAGTTTGCCTCAACCAAATGTTATGAAACTTATACACAATGCTTATTACTACATAATACAGATTAAGTAGGAAATTTGGTGGCAACACTTTTACCATTCTTGAGTTATGTCCCTTTATAAACATAAAAATTGCTGAATTTTTCGTTTCCGTTCTCTAACTTTAGTTTGTCTCAACCAAATGTTATAAAACTTATACACAATCGTTCTATATTGTGCATGTTTACAAATAGAAAAATTGCTGAATTTTTAGTTTCTGTTCTGTACTTAAGTTAGCCTCAACCAAATATTATGAGACTTACACACAATGCTTATTACCACAAAAGTCAGATCAAGTTCAAATTTGGGTAGCTTCACTTTTACCGTTCTTCAGGTATGTCCCTTTATAACGATATGATATGCAAGCGGGGGCATCATCTATGTCCACATGTGGACACTTTCCACATTTATTTATAGATTCATCGCTTTCTTTTCATTTCAATTTTTGTTACCATTTTACAGCAGAGGCGATGGTGGTGAAGATGCAATAAAATCAGAACGAGAATTAGCAATGGGCTGGGCCCTCAATACATTCCTACGTAATGTTGGTGTAAATAGACACAACTCATCCATGGACAGAGTCCAGAGTTTTATAGCCAAAGATAAACGATTATTAAAGATAGGTCAACAAAAGAAAAAGGTAAACAAATTATGAATAGAAAATAAGTTCTGTATATATATTGTCTTCAATATGGCTGAGTCGAAAAAGTTTGGATAAAGAGTAAAAACTGTCAGAAAAACTCTTTAAATGGGAGATGTTTATAGTATTCTTTTAAACAGAGTTGTATTTAAAAGGAGCTTGTAATTTTACCTGATATAAAAATGTGAAAAAGAGGCTGAACATACCAAAGGGAAAATCAAAACTCACAAGTTGAGAGAATCGACAAAATCATGGTGAAAAACAAGAAAACTCACAAGGCAAAGAGAATAGACAAAATCATGGCAAAAAACAAATAACAGTTTTACAAAATACTACATAAACATTAAAGACTGGTGCTCCAGAAGGGTAAGCAGATTCTGCTCCAGATGTGGCACCCATGTAATATTTGAAATATGAGGAACAAAATTGTCAGTTTGTTAAGACATTGCTAATCTCTTTTTATAAATAATAGCTAAATATAGGATGTTGAACTAATAACATTAGTTGGGTAAAGATTAGACAAATTGGAGACAAATTCCAATAGTTCCTGGCTGGTTAGCTGTATTTCAAACTTATCTCTACTTGTGCATTGTGTAAGTGAGATGAAAATTTAATAGACTCAATAATAATAATAATAATGATAATAAATTCTTTATTTAAAGAAAGTCAACACAGTAAGTAGCAATAAATTATCATCACTGTCGCCCTCTTATACAATAATAGCATAAACAAATCTTCTCACATATATATAGGCCATTATATTCAATACAAACAAGAGCAAATGTTTTCACATAAAGGCAGGCCCTTGAATGTTTTCAAATATATAATTACTGTATACCATGTAAGAGAATGACATTCCATTTCTTCATGATTAAATATGAGAGTCAGCAAAGTAAGGGATTATATACTTAAGCACATATTAGCAACTCCTGATTTACCTTTTTAAACTGTATTCTTTTTCCGTGTACTAAATAACTATGCATGGATGACCACAATCAAAACCCTTGCACTAAATTTTGTAGTAAATGCTTTTCCATTGACAAACATTTACTTTAAATATTGCTCATATGACCTCCTGACTGGGTTTTGTTGAGAAATGATTTCATGGTGAATATACATAATTTATAATGCACTTTTTGATATGGAGGCATTTTTGTTATGGACTAGTCTTACTGGTCTTAAAAATTTTTGTGATTTGGGAAATTAGATGACACAACAATATGACAAACTGGTAGGAATAATATAAGTTTCCCAAGTTTTCGTGTGAATGTTAATGCTGTCCGTGATCATATCAAGCAATGATTGGTAATATATGCTCATATATCTAATACATAAATGTGTATTTATTACCATACTTTTCAAGAACTTTTTTTTATTAAGAATAAGGCGGCAAAACATTGCCCTTCTTTTTATGAACCAAGGGAAATAACTCAATTCACAATATTGCCTAAATATGTTTCTTTGCTTAATACGATGCAAAGTTCACTGGCCAAATTGAATTCAAAACCCACTCAGTGCTCAAAAGAACTTTGATTGAATGAATAGTCACAGATGAAATTCATCCTTTACTGTTATTTAAAGTTTTTGGGCAAAACTTGTAAAATTTATAGAAAACAAAGGGGGGAAAAAAGGGGGAAAAAATGTCTTAAAAGTGCTTTACAAATTTATCTCCCAAATCCTAAGAACAGATCTATTTGTATGCTTTCGCAGAAATGAACTGGCTTGCTATTTGGATTTATGATATAGGTTGTGTGTTTTATATAGGCACATGAACAGAAGGAAATCTAGTGGCAAAAAATTACCTCCCTTGCAAACTCTCAAAATATGATCTCTTTATGGTTTGGCATTTTCTTTGCAAGGACTGTATTGATTATTAATTCACAAGAAAACTTTCTGTTAAATAGTAATAATAAAACTGAATTTAAATAAAAACTAAGTAACCATATGATGCTGTTATTGGCCTCGTAATGTAGCAAAGAACAAAAGTAGGCTGAAGGAGTTGTGTGTAAAATTGGTTAAAAATGTTGCTATGCCAATAATTTCCTTGTGTACCAACCAAAATTTATTTGTCTACTGGCTGTATTACCTCACTGTAAAGCTAGATAAGAGAAGTTCAGGAAAAAAATAACAACAAAATCAATTGAGATTCAGCAAAGATTAACACTTTTTCAATTAAGTTACCTGGAAAATTCAAACGGACCTTAATCTGATGTAAACTTTTAATTTGAATATATCAAGAAGACCACATATACATGTACTAAATTGAGACAACCTTTTATTAAAATGATATAACTTTTAAATCGTTACAATCATATAAAGACAATATTTTATATCGAAACTTGTCGACATCGAGCAGACTGTTCTGCTCGAATACTTAGTTGTGGATAAAAGGAATACTATGGATTCATTTATTTTCGTGTGTACCAATTTTCGTGGAATGAGGAAAACTTACTCTTTCGTGGATTTTTTATTTCATGGTTTTTGCCAAAGTCTGCATACAAGCCAATGGAAAAGTTGCAATTCGTTGAACATTTAAATTCGTGGTTCACTTGCACCCACTAAATCCACGAAAATTGGTATCCAACGAAAAATAATGAATCCACAGTAGTTATAGGAATTTGTATCATGCTAAGAACTATGTGGATTTTTTTTTCGATGTTTTTAATAAATATGCAGCATAGATTAACAATTTTTAAATTTCAATTTAACAAGCTTCTAATGCAATTATCACAATAACTAATGAAAATAAGAAATTATGTATTTGCATGTATAATTCAAATGACATAGTTAAACAGATAATTTTGTTTTCCCACTATGTATACTATAAGGTAACATAGATAACAACTGTTTACAACTTGTGAAGATTTAAAGCTTGACATATGGTAGACACATTTTTATTGTCAAAGAATTTTTTTGTCCTATAGCTTTTTTTTGTTGGTTATTTGTAAGTTTATAATGCTGTTTCATTGATGTATACCTTATATTTTCTTTTAATTCATATTGGTCATTTTTACAGGTGCAGCAACACGAGTTTCAGTTAAAGCATTATTATAAAGTAGAAAAATGTATTCACTGTGATAAAGTTATTTGGGGAGTTGGTTACCAAGCATACTATTGCCAAGGTAGGTCACCTCAGCCCAACTATATATAGTCATATGTTTGATATGTTATCATGCTCATCATTGCCAAAGTAGGTCACCTTAGCCCAACTATATATTGTCATATGTTTGATATGTTATCATGCTCATCATTGCCAAAGTAGGTCACCTTAGCCCAACTATATATTGTCATATGTTTGATATGTTATCATGCTCATCATTGCCAAAGTAGGTCACCTTAGCCCAACTATATATTGTCATATGTTTGATATGTTATCATGCTCATCATTGCCAAAGTAGGTCACCTTAGCCCAACTATATATTGTCATATGTTTGATATGTTATCATGTTCATCATTGCCATAGTAGATCATCTGTTATAGTACTTAATATAGGGATTCTACCACTGATTTTTCTGAGAGACAAAATTACTAAGGCAGCTAAATTTTCAAATTCTAAAACAATAATACGGGTCTGGCTGGTGCCAAATAGTAATCATTCGCATGTCTTTTCGTCAGTCAGCATTTCTATGTCGTTCCATCATTTAAGATTGTCTCAACCAAATTTTTTTTATTTACAGTATTTATACCAATAAAAGGAAAGCCTGTTTCAATGTATATGGAATTTTGACTTGTTTAACATGCAAATTCCAAAATGACACCCAGTGTCAAAAATTGATTGTGATAACTTTTAAAAAAAAAAGTATTGCAGTAAAAACTTACATTATGTTAAAAAAAATCTGAACCTTTGAGGAACATCTTTTTTGGGCAATCATTTGTTCAAATATAAATATATAGGTAAATAATATGCTGATCTGGATTGGTTCCCAATCTAATTAATTATCAAGTGGCAGCCATAAAACTTTTAATAATTCATAGTGCTGGAATTTTGATGAAACTTGATATCTAGGTATAACATATTTTGAATTAATATTTACAAAAATTGATTCCCATGGAAAGGTCTTGCTTTGTTTGCAATGATATTGATTATTCTGGTTATTTATGTCTCTTTCTAGTTGCCAAGATTTAAAAAAAAATGTATCACACAAGATTCAGTGATAGTGTTTTCCTCATGTTTTAAGATAGAAAGAATAAATGCTTGTACATTATTTTCTGATGATCTGCAAGAAGGACTTTTATGTGACATGGTCACCATTTTACTTACTGCCAAAAAAAAAAACCAGATAAAGATCAGGAAATAATGACATTATAACTATATACACCAATGAAAAAATGAGAACAGTGGAATCCCACCATAATTACGAAAAAAGACAATCAAGAGGGAACCAAAAAAAAAAATATCGATGGGGTAAGCATTTTCCTACCATGTCATCGAAAATTTGCTACATTAATCTTAAGGGCGGTTTACACAGTACAATTTTCAATCCAAATTTTTACCTACCAAGTGAATTCAACAAAAATTGCATTGTGTGAACACTAAAATCGGATGTTGTTTGGTTATGGAATGGAAAATTAGATCTTGAATAATACGCTTTACGATTTATCTGGGCCATGGTGTCAAATCAGATTAAAAATCAGATGGAAAATCATACCCTGTAACCGCACCTTTATAGATAATTTATGTCATAACAAACAGATATTTGTTATGTAAAATTACATCCATTGTGGCATGTCAGAATATCATTAGTGAAAGAGTCACAATAACATTTCACAAATGCACACTTTAACAATAAGTATAAAGGTGGAAAAAAAGGTAGTGGAATTCTTTTGAGCATCAAATTGAATTGTAGTTGTATATAAATTCATTGAACATAAAAGTATGTTTGGTTTGAATTTTTCAGGGTGTGAAATGAGTGTACACAAAACTTGCATAGATGACCTTGATGAACCTTGTAAGAGGCAAAGAGGGAAAAGTAAATTTCGTAACTTCCGGCCAACATCTACTGCAGGTAAAACAACCATTGTCAACTTTAAATATGCTTTAACAATGACCTTTGCCCTTGTATACTCTTTTCCATAGAAGATATGTTGTATACAAAGGGAAAGGTTATTTCTTTTTGAAAAGTGAAATAAAAACTTATATAAAAATAAGCAGAACTATTGCTTTGCATGGTTAAAGCTGTCCTAATAAGCAAGTCAGTTATTGCACCACCAGTAGTTTTAGTAAGACTTTTAAGATTAGATTTGAAACTATAGGATGATAGTGAGACTTGGAAAGTTAGATAGAAAATATAGAATAACTTGAAATTGCTTTTAGGTTCAATTCTATATATGAAATTTATATCTTTTGGAATCATCAAATCTTTATCCAATCAATCTTCATGCCATTTAGACATTTCTGTCGTTACAACAATTACATTGATTTTACATTTAGAAGACAAAATTGTTATTTATCAAAGGTATTATTTGTATTCTTACATGAAATTTTGACTTCTACATATGCAAAGCTTATTAATTCTGGACAAACCAGGTTTAACCATGTGTTGACATTATTTTAGGTGGAAATGCTTTAGGTGGGGTCGTTAAAATGGTCATACCAGATTTATTGACAACAGGTATTAAAAACGTAGTCACTAAAACTCTAGTCATCTACAGTGTAGTTGTCTTCTGCTACATAAAATCTGTTGCTGGTTTTTGATTGTAGATAAATTCGTTTATTTTATGTGTGAGGGTATCAGGTTCATTCAAAACAAAAAGTTTAAACACTTCTTTTGCTACAGTTTATTCCAAAAACTTCATTTGATTGTATATTCTATACTTTTAAAGGGAGGAAGTCGGTTCCTTACAAAAAAAAGTTTTTCTATTTAAAAGTCTTTGTACAAAATTTTCTGGTCATAATAAAAACAATCATAAAAAAGCTGTTGTCAATTCCTTTAGCATTAAATTCTGAAATCTACTATATAAAAATACATTGGAATAAAGTGTTGCAAAAGAATGTGCTCTCAGTTAAAACACATATTAAATAGAGGGAAGCATGTAGTTAAAAGTTATAGCCAGAGCTTTGTGTGTCTTAGAATATATTTTAACTCCCTAGAAATAGAAAGAAAACTTAAGGTATAATGCTAGAGTTATAGTGATGTGGATATGGTTTTTGCATATACCATTTTAATTAAAACTAACAGTCTTCCCAATTTTATAGCATTGACATGTATCTATAAGGGTCACGACACTCAATCGAATTGTAAGTGTCATTAACCAGTTACGACATGATAGTTATAGATTATTGATGGTTTTTCAAACAAGAGGGTGTCTCTCAGCTACAATCTCACCGAAGGTCGACAGCCCTGAGATGAGATGTGGCCGACAAACAATCTTGAGTTTGAAAGATCATTGATAATCTGTTTATCGCTGTTTTGCCTATGACGTTGTTGATGTTTACATCGACAACGTCGCATGTGCGCTTAGTATCTGACAATAATTTTCTATCTCAAGCGAGTAGCATGATATGAAAAATTATCACAAAAAAGATCAAAGAAAAAATATGTAAAATAGCAATAAATTTTGCATATCAGTGAAAAAAAGTGTGACATTAAAAATATCTCCTGTTAGATGAATATTGATATATATATTCCCTCACCCGTTAAGCATTAACAGTATTATATAAGAATGCAGAAGTCCTTTTATATTCCCAAAGCTTTAAAATACTATTACCTATATCTGATGACCTTTTCAGAATCGTAAGGACTATGGGTGATTTCATAATTTTAAACAAAAAGAAAACAATGTTAAGCTTATGGTTGATAAACCATTGTTTATTACATTGGGTGAGACAATTACAATGGTATGAGTACACTTTTTAAAATACCCAAAGTTCTTCAGATTCTGAGTGATGAATTACACAAATATGAATGCAAGTCACTCTCTTATTGCACCACTCAACATTACTTATTTTTTATGAATATATAAAACCATTGTATTTTATAGATTTGGATATAAGCTAACCATAAGCTACACATAGCTTTATAGATTCTGTGTAGACCAATTAATGTATCTTGTTTGTTTCAGAATACTCCCCCTTCTCCTCCAAAAACAGATATCAACACCAGTTCTGTAAGGAAAAAAAATCCAATTAGCTTCACTCAGTATAAGCACTTTATTGATTTGTTCTTATCCCATACAGACACTTTGTAGTAAATCATTAATACTCCATGTATGTACATTCTTTGACATAATCAGTGTATAAAGTAGTTCTTCTAGTCAAAGATGACTCTGTAGCACAACTTTGAATTTTCTATCTGAAACTATTTTTTTTGGAGTATTTTGAAAATGTAGAATTTCCTCAGACTTGTTGAAAGTTTTCACAGGTATACGAGATTGTGTCAGATACCTTTGAATAACCTAAAATTGTGTTATAATCAAGAACCTCTTCAGAACATTAAAATGGGATAATGCTCTGAAGGCTATCCTTTTCCTGTCAGGCAGAAAACAATGTTATTGCCTAGCCACATGGAGTGTGAATGATGCTATGAAATTGTGGTACAAATCTGTATTCAAAACATTTTGGTGAAAGTTTCACTTAAAATTGCTTAGCTTGTTTTTCTTTTTGACAATATATACATTTGATTTTACAAAAAAAAACCAAAACAAACCCAAAACAGGAAGCTAAGAATAGAATTATACTGAAAAATAAGGAGATGTGGTATGTTTGCCAAAGAGACGGCGTTCAACCAGAGACCAAATGATGTAGAAGTTAGCAACAATAGGTTACCATACTGTTTGTTCTTTGCTAATAGATATTTGTAGAATTGTTTATAATGTTGAGTTCAGTATAATCCTGATAAACAAATTTAAAAAATCTAAACTTTCTTTAAGTCTTGTCAAATGTCCATAATATAGGCACTGATTCACAAAGCAATTGTAAGTCTTGTGTGTTACTTTTTCAAACTCATTATGAACAAACAACACCAGGAGATTCAACAGGTTAAGATATCCTTATTGTTTCCTTTGAGGATAATAGTGCATCTGGGAACCAGTAAAACCAGTCTTATGTGTGCCTTGTGAAAATGTGTCCTGGTTTTTAACAGTGATCACCAAATTCTGTTAAAAGTTGTAAGATTTTTAAAGGTTATGTTTATGTTGACCCAACCTTGAACCATGACATATTGAAAACTGTTAATTATTTCTTTCTTATTTATCAACAGCCCTAAAAGGTAAAGAAATGAAGGGGGAGGAGCAATCTGAATGTAATTGCTTTATTCAAAATAATGCTGAAAAAATAATAACTTGCTTCAGATTGCCTTAAACTTTCTTTGTCACTCAGTCACTATTAATATTAATGATATTTATTCTAATAAATCACCAGGGGCATTAAGAATAACACTTGTCTGTACTTATGTATGGTCCTCCATACATTTCTTAGAATTTAACTAAGTTCTTGAGTTCAACCCATTTCTCAAAGACAACTAATAGTATATGAAGGATATCTAATAATTCTGTTATATAATACATCATTTATCAATAACAATACAAGAAAATACTACTGACCATCATTTAATGCTAAAATGATGATTTTGACTGCTGAAGCGTGGATAAATTGACAAAATTGATTCTGTTTGATTGTCATCTCTTACATTGGTCTGAATATTCATCTATCTGTATAATTGACTTTATTTCAATGAAACTGTCGGAGAATATTTAATACTTGATGAAATTTGTTTACTTCCTATTTTATATTTTTAATCTATAGGAATTTTTGGCATTTTTACAGAGCAAAGTATGAACTTTGCCATATCTAAACAAATATGAAGCAGGGTTATGAATTTGTGATCTCTATTGTTTATGTTTATTTGTCAGGACGTTACAGTTCCATAACAATCTAACTTGGTACAACACCATTCAGTTATATTTAGGTCACCATGACCTTTATTTTATCAGTATCGTCAGATCATATGTTTTCGTACGTCAAATGAATTCGTACTATGCATGCTTTTTCAATGGAAATTGTGACGTCACAATGCATTCTAAATAACACGAAAAACCCATAATACGAGGATAAATTCAATTAGATTTGTTTTATATCATTTTATTCTATTAATATTGCGAACCATAAGTCTTGAATATTTTTTTGCATTACAGCATAGGTTTTCATCCCCTGCTTGCCCAACTTCAGGTCTACATTTAGGTCCCAGTGGTAGCCTTTTCTAATATTTCAGGGCATCTGTGTCTAACAGATCTGAATTTATTTATTTATGCTTTATTCACATTTGCTTTTACTAAAACTTGGTTTATGGTCTATGTTGCAATTGTATAAAAAAACAATAATTTGTTACATTTATAAACAAATCATTTATGACCTAATTTTCTTGTGGTGATATAAATCAGAAATATTTATATGCTAATATTTCTTTAATATAATTCTATGGTTAACAAATTATATTTATAGCCAACAGCTGTTTTACTTTTAATGATTTAGAACTTTGCATTCTACCTGTAATAAGTGTGAAATTGTATACCCACAAATCAACTTCCACAAATAAAGGGTATTAAATAGTGAAAAAACAATATTATGGCAAAATTTCTAGTAATTGAATGTTATAAATGTCATTTTTGAGGTTGTCAAAAAGTGAAACCTGATCAGCTTACTTATCTACTTATTTTTATTATATTACTTAAAATATAAAAACTTTGGTAGGAAATAAATGTAAAAAAAGTATCAAGAAATATGTTTATATCCAGTTTGTCTTATGATCTTTAAATGTCTCAAGAGAGAAAAAGCCAATATTTCATAAAAAGTAAAATAAGAGCCTCAATACAAACTGATTAAAAGTTAGATCCTGTGTCCATGCTTTGCATACAAGGATCTGAAAACACTCCAATTTACTTCCTGTTCTGATTATAATTACACCAGCCAATGAAATTTCTGCTTCCAACATTTTGTAGATGTGTATCATAAGGACAAAACCAGAGAATACAGAAAGGTCTTTAAAACAGAAAGTAGAACGGAACATGGACACAAGATCTGTATTTCAATGCGATTGGTCTCAATATTAAGAAATTTGTATATGAAAAAGTCATGATCAAAAAGTTGTTATTTACTTGTGGAGAACAAATGTAATAAATTGTGTGGGTTTTGTAGGAGATGAATTTAGAATCTAAATGAATTGTCATCACATGAATTTTTTTACTGTGGATTCATTGTTATTCGTGGGATACCAATAATTGTGGATTTCATGAGTACAGGTGAACCACGATTTAAATGTTCAACAAAGTACAAATTTTCTATAGGTTTGTATGTAGACTTTTATTAAATCATGAAATCAAATATCTACAAAAATACAATACCGGTATTTCCTTAATCCACTAAAAATTGATTCCCAGGAAAATGAATGAATCCACAGTATTTCTTCCCTCAGAGTGAGGAAGAGGTATTTTGTCAGATTATTAGGTTCATAGTTAAAATCAAAACTAGATGATATTCAAACTTGTATATATAATGCTGCAGTTTAAATGGTGTTTTAATACCTTATATGTCCTTTTTAACTTGCAGCCTATCCACCACCAGCCGATAAAACAGATACATTATCGCCTAGTCCCAACCAGAATACATCGTTTAATATAGAACCACCCAATGATGAGGATAAACCAGGTAAGGACAGTCTTATCACTAGTCCAGTAACATATCTAATATCATGTCTAACAAATTGTATCGAACACTAGTCCAGTAACACATTGAATATCATGTCTTAAACAAAGATGTCCAATAAATTGTATCGAACATGTATCATTTTCGTAAAGAACTACATATAAAATTCTCATTTTAATACAGGGTATACCTGTTGTAAGTTAAAACAAAGAGTGAATTTGAATATACAACAAAAAATAACCACGACTTCATTATGAAATGTAATTACAATTCATCCTAAACATAAACATGATTTTCTGTTTCAGTTTCTGATAATCTTATAATCATGTTTGGTTTCTGATTAGAAATGTTGACCCTTCTATTTTTCAGAACATTCAGTAAATCGATTGGTTCAAAACTTTGAAGATTTACAGGGTGATAAACGACGAAGTCCAGGCCTAGAGCCTACTGAACCACAAAAGTATGTAATAGGAAAGAATCCACCTAAACGAAAGTAGGTAACAGGGTTGCTGTTATGTTTGGTAGATGTGTTTTAATAGTGTTCGATGTTTATCCTTGGTGTCGACATGTCTCTGTTTAATGTCTGGTTTCTCAAAAAAAGCAAAAAAATAAAATATAAAAAGTTTATGGTGTTTATTTGAACCAAGAATGAAAAGTTTATCATAATTTAAGTTTAAGATAGTTCCAGAATATGAAATATAAAATATTCAAAATTTTCACTCTGAAAAATTAATTATTTCCTTTACAAAATTGTTTTATTACAATATTAACATAGATTCTTTGCATTGTTGGTTATTTCTAAATACCAAACTTAAAATATAAAGATTTGAATCAACTATTTAAAATTTTGGAATAGTCCTTCAAATAAGAAAATTATACATGGCAAACCAAGGAATTGTTAATAAACTTACTTTGTTTCAGATGCATTCTCTTTATTTTATCCCACTATTATAGCTTTTGTTATTTTATAGAAATATTATTTATTTTATTTTCATTTTTATAAAGCCGTAGACATATAATAATTCTAAGGAATTTACTTTTTTGTTGACCAACCTCATTATAATATGTGAAGCATGGATAGAGTAGATACTGATTTAAAATGAAAACAAAAAACAAAAAAAAACAGAAATTATCAGTTGGGATATTTTTTTCTTTTAAAAATTAATTTACAAGAATGTATTTTTATAAGCTGAATTAATCTTATATGTTACTTGTGAATGAAATCAGTGCTGCTAGTGCTATCACTCTTTGGTTTAAGAATCATAAGTCAATTATATGAGGAACTATCATCTAATTTGCTGTTGAATTACAAGGTACATTCCTAAGGAAATGTCAGGCAGCTTTAATTACAAGCAATAAATTCTATTTAATTTTGTTGCCAATGTGTTTTATTTTGGTATTAAGGCGAAATGTTCAGATAGAATTTGATTATTAAAAAAAAATTACCGAAGAGACCAGTAAAGATAAAATGAACATAAAAAAAAAGGATATTTTGAAAAATGTACATGAGTTTATATTTGCAAATAAGAATATATAATTAGACATGGTCATTACTGATGAGGAAAAGTTTTACATACAGATAATGAAAAAGGTTACTCATAAACTTTAGGCCATATAAGATACAGACATATTCTGAGAGTAATTACAAAGAGGCACATCATGCATCTAAAACAAATACAACCACTCGATCACTATTAAAAATTAAATGGTAAAACAGAGTTCAAATGTTCTAGAAACATGGTGGAATAAGAAACCTGGGCCTCAACTTTGTATAACTGGCTCAAATGTTCTAGAAACATGGTGAAATAAGAAGCCTGGGCCCCAACTTTGTGTAACTGGTTTCAAATGTTTTAGAAACATAGTGGAATAAGAAACCTGGGCCCACACTTTGTATAACTGGGTTCAAATGTTCCAGAAACTGTGGAATAAGAAAATAGAACCCAAACTTTGTGTATCTGGGTTTAAATGTTTTAGATCTATGGTGGTAAAGAAGCTAGGGCCCAAACTTTGTTTTATTGGGTTCAAACGTACCTGAAACATGGTGGTTTTAGAAACTGTGGCCCAGACTTTGTATAATTGGGTTTAGATATTAAAAAAATATGACATTGCGATATTTCTGTGAATTGGAAGATCTGCAATACTGTACCATATCTATATCTTCTAAATGGGTTTTCCTGGCAAATAAGGTTTATCGGGATGGTTCATTGCATTAAGTCTGGTATTCTTTCTACAACTGTGGCATTACATATTGTTATTTGAACCTATGTAACTTTCTGTTTTCAGTTCAGGTTTAAGCCGATCCCAATCTTTCCTCTATGTCAAAAACATGTAAGCAACGATCAAAGAGCCTTGTAAAAGTAGTTCAGAAAAATAATACTGCATAAAATCAACATATGCATGATTAAATTACTACTTTTAACTGTGTGGGTTTCTTCAGATTCTGCATTCCATTAATATATACATTTCAAAAGTTCATAAAAGATATCTGTTCCTTTTTTTCTTTTTTTTTTTCATCTACCGGTATTTCTTTTTTTTTTTCTATTTTCTCTTTTCTTTTTTTTTTTTCTTTTTTTTTAAATATGAGTAAAAATAGTTTTGAAATTTTCAAAAGTTTGAATGAACTTTAAACTGATAGCTTGACTGTAAGGTGATGACGGGGAACTAATCAAAATTTTCATTTCACAAAGGATAAGCCTAAAGTTATCTCTGCTTTCATAATTTTACTTTGTTTTAAATGTTAGCAGTTGAATTGTTCTGACTCTGGATATGACATAAAATTCATTTCAGCTTTTGGCTCTTTTTTAAGTTCATAGAATATTCTCCTGTTATCAGCTTTTGGCTGTCTTGTTTATGTTCATAGAATATTCTCCAGTGTTATTCAAATTTAATAAAGATTAACAATTATTGTCATTCAGTAGTTGCATAAAGTAAATTATTTTAAAGTATTTTGCCATTTATTTCTTATCCCCCCCCAAATTTATGGAAACTCTCAATCAACATAAATAAATATCTCTGATTTAAGTACTGTTTATTCTAATTTAATATTGTGACTGTTGAACAATGGATGTAAATGGTAGATTAATTATTGCCCTTTCAGGAAATGATGCATTGAAATAATACTGTCAAAACTAAAAATGGAAGTTTTTTATTTTTGCAAAACTATTCTAGTATCTCTTTTTGCAATATAAAAAACAAACATCGCAAAAATTTATGAATTTACAATAGTCTGTAATTGATCATTTGGACAGAAAATGACAAATATTTCACAAACTAAATAAGAAAATACTTAAACTATGAAGTTTATTGATGGTGGGATAAAATAATGTAAATGAATGAATATGAAATATAATGCTTAACATATTTGTGTTTCAATTATTGATATCAAAGCAGGAATTTGTATTTTATAAAACATGAACTAGGAATTATATAAGCAACCCTGTTAGCTAATATATGTAAAAATATAAGCATGTTTCATGAAAAGCATGTATATAAAATAATCATATACAATACTTTATTTCATATATACTTAATTAGAGTGTGTATATTTATATCTGAATGTAAGTTAATATTATTTATAGGAGTGTGAATTTACCTACATATGTGTATATATATATATATAGGCTATAATACAGCGAGCACAATATGTTAAATATAAAAGTTTACCCCAACCCTTTGTTGTAAACCATGTTGATTCTCCATTTCTGTACAGCATAAAAGCTAACACATTACAATCAAGTTAGATTTTGCTGCCTTTATTTTTTTTCCCGCCATTATTATTTTTCCCGCCTGTTTCTGTTGACTGAAAGAGCAGTTTTGTTTTGTTAGTCCTGTCTGATCTTCCCAAACAGTTACTAATATAACGGCTTTGTTCATGCCGTCTAATTAAGAAATCCCTTACAATACTGCTGATAGCTTTTGCTTTTGAAAATAGCTTCAATCACTTAGCTCTTGTAGAAAATATCTCATTTATTTTATTTTATAAGATAAAAATTTATTTTCTTTGCAAGTTTTTACTATCATATTAGAAACAGGCATTGCTTAGAATCAGTTATCTCCCTTGCTTTGATATTAAGTGTTTGTTTTGCATGTTTTTTGCATGTCAAGAACTTTATGCATGTTTAAGATTATTATGCTTCTGTTATTAAGTTAAAATAATTTTGTTGGTTTCCAATTTTATTTGAAGTTCATATTGATTTATTGATTGATTGGTGTTTTAACTCCACTTTCAACACTATTGTGCTATTTCGTGGCAGTCAGTTTATATTGGTGGAGGAAGCCGGAGTGCCTGGAGAGAACCACCAACCTTCGGTAGGAAAACTGACAGTCCTAGTCAATTAAGATTGGAGTCGAGTGCACCTGCCAAGTGCGGGATTCATATCTCACAACCTCACTGTTGACTGTCTAGTGATATAGTAGTTCGACTTCTTAGACAACTCGGCCACCGAGGCCCTAGCTCAAATATAACAATCCTTTACTGTTCAATATGGTTGGAATATGAAAAGGACAGAAAATTCCTTAAAAAATAAATTTGCTATAATGATGGCAGTCTGGAAGAAAATGTTTATCTTTTGATCTTCTGTACCCATTAATAGGAGTAATTGTAGGGGAAATTACTTAGTTAGCAAATGTATGGAAATTGAAAGAGTGATGTTTACTGCTGCATTGCTTTGCATTTTTAACAATGAAATATATGCATCAGGGCTGAAGCCTCTACTAACATGCATAACTGAATTAAAACAAAATTATGTGTTTTATAAAGATACATATGAGAAATTGTTTACTGTAAATTTGATAATTCATTCTTTAAATACAAGGTTTTTTCTATTGAAAGTATTACAATTATTTTAGGTCGTTTTCATGTATTTACTTGAATTTCAAACTTTGTTTTTGAGTTTAGCATTCTTATTCAATAGAGTAGACACATTTAGTTCCTTCTTTCCCTCCAAAATATTTTTTTAACATTCTTTGCTTATTAAATCAAATTGTACTTTTATATCAATATAATTTATCTGTGTTTTTCCAACCTCTGAATCTTACACATGATATAATTGATATTAAACATTTAGATGCTTTATAAAATGATTGAGAGAACTCAATGATTAGAGAAATCGCACATTTTTTATCTTTCGCAAAAAAGGAGCTATTTTGGTAGCTATAGGAACTACCAAAAAGCCTTTAATGCTCTTAATACTAATTTACATGCTGACTGTGCTTAGGCTATATGTTGTAAGGGATTTTCATATGCTAACCAAACTTTAATCTAATGCTATAGGAAAGGATCAGACCTGGGAAGATCAGAAAGTATGAAAAGTCGTGGCGATTCTAAAGGTGATCGGCCGGCCAGACGGGCCAAAAGGTAACCACATTTTGACGTGAAATCGCATGTTCTAATTTTAGTTGATTGTTTTTTTTAACCAACTTATTTGTGTTTTTTTGGTTTACCTCACAGTTTGCATGGTTAAGGGAGATTCACTATTGGAGAAAAGGGGATTGAGTAAGATGAATTTAAAAGCACACATTATAGCATTTGTATGATTAAGGAGGCATGTAACTTTCTGAAATATAGCAGTCACGCTTCAATGCAAAGCATGTCTTTGTCAAAAGGGATTTCTTGTCATTCTTTTAAGCAGGTAGCAATATCCCAAAATAGTTATAACATATTATTAAGTGTATTATTACAGCACTTTAGGACAAGATATTTGTATAGTCCCTACACTCAAAAAGTATTTTAAATAAGTCTAAACTTGATTGACACTATAAAAGTCAGATACTTAAGTAATGGAATACCTTTAGAATTGACACTATAAAGTATAACTGCACCAAAACTATGAGAGCTTTAGGCTAAAAGCTTGTGTTGCCCTTATATGCAGTTTTTATATTAGAGTTCAGCAAACTGTTATAGTATTTGCATGTTTCTCTTTCCAAATAGAGTAAGTAATTGAGGTAGATTTATTTTCTCATAGTAGTAGATGCCTAAGTACTTTATGTATTTCAACCAAAACACTTGACTGGCATGTCCAGTTTTCTATTGACTGTTCTGGTATTTTATTGGTTGCTACATGAAGTGGAAATAAGTTTGGAAACAAAAATCAAATATCCACAAAAATACAATTTTTCCACAATCCACGTAAATTGGTTTCCACGAAAATAGATGAATCCACAGACTATAATAAAAAAAATTTCCAGCTTTTGAAACGAGTAAAGGTAGAATTGGTAGGTAAGACACACAGTAACTAACAGAGGTGATTAATAACACAACTAATTGACTGGGTGGGAGAAAATGATTTAAATTGTTTAATAACAAAGTAATCAAGTTACTGAAGCAGTGAACAGAAAGCTGAATAACAGACAGAAGTGTTTTGATTGAAAATAAATCTCAAAATTGGTAGGTGGCTAACTTATGTGTATTAATTATTCAGAAAGCTATCCGCAGGGTAAGTGTAACGACGACTCTGGTGATGTTCTATAATTACAGCTTGTGTATAGTTAGACACATGTTCTGATAATAAGGGGCAGAAATGAACATGGTAGTCTTAATATTCAACATGATCTTATACAGTACTGCCTGTGAAATAAGAAATATTTTATGGCAGTCTGTGGCTGTTAAGGTTTACCATAGATATTCTGAGTGCATCCTGGGGTAAAACTTCCATGACAATATGGCCGTCTGATAATAAAATTGATGTCAAACCACAGACTGACATGAATTAATTTGAATCTTATATGGGAAAATATACAAAAAATGAATTGTAGTAGACTCCGTTTCCAGAAATAATGATGTTTTTGTTCACAAAACATATCACAAGGTTGTTGACTTGTGATAATGTGATACATCAAATATTTTACAATGCCTCATTAATGTATGACGGTTTCAGCACCTTATATCAGAATACTTTTTATACGACTGCATTACATACTGCCTTTGAAATAATATCTTTTTGTCCCCAATGCATAGAGGTATCAGGGTCCATAGAAGTATGGGTTGTACATCCATCTATCAGTTTGTCTTTCAGTCCACTCTTGTAAGCACTTTTACACATACAATTCTTGCCAGATTTGTATGAAATTAATATCAAAGGTCAGGAGAAACCTCACAATTATTTGAGCCTCAGACTTACTTTTAACTGACTTTGTCATATTGTGCTTGAATCCATCAAAGTAATTTTTTTTTATAGGATATCATGTTTACTCCTGCAGCTCTCGATTAGATAATTGATGGAGCACACCTTTTGGTTATGTTTTTATGATTTTATATTCCTCATACATACAGTATAAGGCTTCCAACAGAACACACCGAATGTTCTAAGCTATGGCCTTGATTTTTGTGTGTGAAATGTTGAGCAGAAAGATTATCTTGGGTGCTGGTTATGTGTAAATATCAGACTACCTGTTCATTTCTTCCCCTGAACTGATATCAAAGTGATCATTTAGTTTGCTTTCTGGTCTCTTCATTTAAAAAATATCTTTTTTAATTATTACTGCATTTTATTTCATGTATGTCTTATTTTTTGTTTGCTTTTTCTCTGAATGAGAGGTTAATAATTTTAATGAAAACACATTTTAAAATGTTTTCAAATCAGCCTATAGTATTTTAGAGATGCTATACAAGACACTCCTTTCATTAAAATCACCTAAAATAAATTAAATAGATCCTTCCAAAATATATACGGGCAGTGCCAGTGTTATATGATGGGATGGATTTCTTGGTATAACATGGTAAAATTTTACACAAGAAAGTTTTATTATCCAATCGACATAAAGCACTGGGCATGTCAGTATAATATATTGGCAGGGTCTAAAGCATGGTACTAATTTATATTCATTCCTCTGTATAACCTCCTCCCTAAAAGGCCTGGGCATCTGGTATTGGCTTTGACAGGTACACTAATTTTGATTTTTTTGTAACTAGTATTCTGGTGAATTGATCAAAAGCATACACTAAAATGCTGTAATATGATGAAAATATAAAAAAATGATTAGAATCTAACTGTTACATAATTTTCAATGTTTAATTGAAAATCAGGTAATTTTAACAGTAAGATTATAAATGTACAGCATATAATTCTTGACATTTTTTGCTATTGTGTAGATTTTGGAATATTTGACAAATTTTCTTTAGAACACTTTTATAATTATTTGTTGAGGCAAATTTTTTATTGTCGACATTCTTCAATTGAACTCTGTCATGGGTCAGGGAACAGAATCCCCTGTCTGGATATCTATACTTGTATTTTAACACAATTCCCATTTATTCTCCTTTTCATTTCAATAGCATGTACAGAAAAAATATTAAAATTATTTAAGTCTCTAAAGTATGGTTGTCAAAATCAATAGAAACCATTAAATTTGGTGGGATCTTTATATGAGAAAGTGAAAAGAAAATTAAAATTAAAGGGACTTTAAGTTACTTTCGTGTTTATGTATTTTTTGTATTTTTTCTTCAAATTAAAAAAAAAAACATCATCATCTTTACCATGAAATTCCTAAATTTGTGTTAGAACCATGTCTTTTTTAAAAAAGTTCAGATACATACCATAGAACAGTTGAATACTGGACATTTTTTTGGAAATCCCTGAAGCATATTTATACTCATCTCATACTGAAGTGTTTTCCCAGGATATATTTTTTATTGATATATAAATGGTGATGAAACTTTATGCTTTAAATTTGTGTGATTTTAGCGATGTTGATGTGGACGAGAATCTTACCCGAGTTTTAAATTCTGGAAGTTCGTCGACATCCAGTTTAAAGTAAGTGCAATGGAATTTTCTAGTATGTATTGTTTTGCCAAGTACTCTATTTTCCTGTCTTAAGTAGTGTTTTCTTCCAAATCAGTCAAAGAAAAACTGAAAGAAGATATGAATTATATATATTTTGTGTTGATAAAAGTCAATGATATATACCTATATAGTTCAGTAATTCACATCATGTTTATGATTTTAGAAACTTTTTCAATGATAATTACCAACATTTAAATACGTTTCCTTTGCTTACCTGATCTTGACTATTTCTTCATTCTGCAATTTGTAGTACAATGTATAAAGTATAATTTATAGGAAGAAACATCATCGTCAATTTAAATTGTTAGAAAATTTATTAAATGGATGACATATTTTATAATACAGGAGTGCAGACAGTCCCAGTACATCAGTAGAAGCTGTGAACAACATCCCACAGAGTGTGGACAATGATTCAGATTTCGAGGTTGAATCAGAGTTACCTCCCCTGAAGGAAGTGCTATCAGAGGAAGTATACAGAAAGCTGAAACCAAAGGAAAGAAAGAGACAAGAAGTTATAAATGGTACATTTATATGCAATATTAGGTCATTATCAGAAAAATATCATTTTTTTTGTATGAGGCTTAAAAAATTGGAAAGGGCGAGGTTTACTGAGCCCTTGAACAGTTTCGTGCCAGATACAAAAAGCTTTGATATTTTTTCTGACATTGACCTAATATTATATTTATACTGCAGCTGAATTTTGCTTCAATTATAATTATGAAAATGTTAACACAAAAATAAATAAAATGGAGAATGGAAGCAGGGAATGCTTCAAAGACCAGAAAACAGCCCAAGGCCACCAATGGGTCTTCAACACAGCAAGAAAATCATATTTTCCATCCCTAAATGAACCCTTAATTGCGAAGAAAATTGATGTAATGTGAAATTGACATTCGCAAAATATCACTTTGTTACTATACTTGGTAAATAAAGACAACAGGAAGTCTTAGTTGATTGATCACTCATGCTGCTATGTAACTTTTACATTGGCAAATTATTTTGTAGAATCTTCCAAATACAGTCATTGATAATTGTTCCATGGGAGTCTTGGTAAACTTTGCAAAAAGGTAGTCATCCTTGGAAGCAATTTATAATTTCATATATATATATATAGCAGTAGTTAAAATGCTTTGTTGGTTGTGCATGCAGTAAAATGTGTCTATGTGCAGCTCTTTCATTGGAAAGTTTGTCTGCAAGATCAGGACTATGACAATCAGTCCCAGTTGTTCCCATCAAGATTGTTTTTAAAGGTATTTTCCCAAAAAGAAGTCTGTATCTATGAACATTTTTCTGAATTACCCCAGAAAGTTTAGTACATTTGTTAGTTCTTATCACATTTTCTGAAACAACTCTGAGAACGTATTGTGTCTTTAAAGAGTAGAAACTGAAAACTGTTAAACAATGTCTTGTATATACTTTTGTTTTCATTCCAATTTTTTCTAATTACAGAATTATTTTACACAGAAAAGACACATGTAAAGAATCTAAAGATCTTAGAGATGTTGTTTTATAAACCTATGATTAACGACAATGTCAATGAAAATTTGACCAAGGCCTTGTTTCCAAATATTGAAGATATTCTTAAGTTACACAGTAAGTTTAAATAGAATGGATTGGTTCAAGGAAGGATTCAACATTTATTATTTCAAAATTTCATGTTATCTTAATGGTTTATAAGCAAATGATAGCTTAATGAGTGTATGATGAGATTTAATTTTTATACTATTTTAAGATATGAAACATAAGTCTGTATTGAAGATAATATAAAATGGCTACTTTCTCATATTTGTGGAATATATTTTGTTCAAGTTTTGATGAATGTAATTTGCTTTTATGATGTAATTTCATGCCAGAAAGTGGTAAGCATCCGCCATAGGGAGAATCATCGTATCTAGAGCAGCAGATGTTATGGTGGGAAAAATAAAGTATTACTGTAAACTCGGAAATTATTGCGAGGTTTTTATTATTGCGAATAATGTGACAAGATGAGTATCGCAATAATTAGAACTCGCATTCAGATATCTGATTCCTACATCAGTATGCAGATTTTCCTGAAATCGCAATTAATAGTCTCGCATTTTTGTCTATTCTTCAAAAATCGCAATAATAAATGCACGCAATAATTTCTGAATTTACAGTACATATTAGTACACAACTGCTTCAGGGGTTTCCTTGTAATGTGCTCCCCTCAAGTGGAGGAGGAGGTTGTGGGTTAGATCCAAGGCCAGGACAAACCAAATACTTGTAAATTGGTATTTGCTTCTTCCCCCAACTTACAGGGCATTTAGGAGTAAGTGTAATCTGTCCTGGTCTGGGATCTAACCCACAACCTCCTGCACTCAAGGGGAGCACACTACCAGGAGACCACCAAAGCAATTGTGTACCAGTGTAAGGACTGTTCAGCATGGAGTCAGAATAATGTGTCTAGGTAGGGTAACATATCCCCTTAAAGACTGTTACTTTATGAAATAGCATATTTAAAATCCTGCTTAGCCTGTTGGTCTATTACAAAGCAGGGTTAGTATTCATATCACATTCACATGGTCTTTTCCTGATATGCATGTAGTGTTTGCCACTGAGCATTATACACCAATCCATCTATCTTTATTGGTACAAATGTTTTGGATGATAATAAGGTGTCATAAAAAAACATTTAAAAACAATTGACCATCAAGATCCTTATAACAGATGAGCAAATAGCAGACTACAAATTAGAAATGGAGAAAAACTTTAGACCTAAAAGAATGGAGTGTTCCTATAATATTCATCTATTTCCCCATTATATCATAAGATAGTTGTCTCGTATCCCCTCTCTATTCCTATTTCCTAAACACACATTTCATAAGAAATTATGGAAAGGGGGAGGGGTCTCAGGTTCTAGGAAAAATGAACAATTTTTATTCCAAAAGTGGATAGATGAAAAGGTGATGGTCATGGAAAAATAATGTTAACATATATTCTGAGTCATTAGCTTTTATAATTTAAGCTTCGTTAAACGATGAAATGAAGAAAAAAAGAAAAGAAAATCCAGTAGTTGGAGATGTAGCAGATATATTAGTTAAGAGGGTAAGTTTTTGTATCACACACATCTGTACCACTGCATGCTGGGATATTTTAATGCCATATGATGTTCAAGATTTGTTGCTGAGATATCTTTTATTTTAAGTTTTTCTTTTTTTTTGTACAAAATACTTTATTAAGAAAAAATTTGTCAATGATACAGTGACCCAACAACATTGAATATAAAATAAGTTAAAAGGTCAACATTTGGTCTTCAACTGACAAGTGTTGATACAATATATCAATCAATCACTGAACTTTCTAAAGTTGTGAATAAATTTTACATTTAGATTAATTAACTATTGTGCATGACCTTTTTTATTGCAAATATGTCCCAAGTCTACAGTATGTATGCTCTTTCAGTGATAAATATATGCAGTCATATTGTCCGTCCGTCATCAACATGTTGGACAATAACTCAAAAACGCTTTAACCAATTTGCATGAAACATTGGTGAATTGTTTATATCTATTGACATATGCTCCATTTCGATTTTAATAAATTTTAGATTTTACATTTCCGAGTTATGGGGTTTTATTCATTAAAAAATGGGATTTTCCAGTTTTCGGACAATAACTCAAAAGTGCTTTGAGCAGAAAACTTTGGTGACTGGTTTATATCTATTAAAATAACCTCCTTTTAGTTTTTTTTTTATAAATTTTTGACATGACATTGACATTGACGAGTTTTGGTGCTTTTTTACTAATTATACTATTTTCTTTTCAGTTTGATGCGGAGGAAGGTGAAGCATTCCGTAATGGCTGTGCCATATATTGTCGTAACCAGTCGCATGCTTTAGAATCATTACGATCTCGGCAGAAGAAAGATAATAGATTATCTAGTTTTCTTGCTGTGAGTATACCATTCAACTTTTGTACTTTCAGTTCATTGTACAGTTAAACCTGGATCTTTATAGGTACTTTTTAGGGTTGGACCTCTGCGGTCGTATCCAGCTGCACTCGGCGAAGCAATTTATTTAAACATTGTATATGAAGATGAATTGGCAGAGTTGTTATTTGATGATTTTGATATTTGTTCATTTGAGGATTGTTAAATGTATTATTCTGGCCTACAAATTACGAAATGATTACGATGATTTCTTAATTTATAGTGACTGACCTTATAAATATTTGTGTATACTATTGATTTTATCTGTGAATGATATGTATCTGTACTTGTGTGTTTAATTATGATGAAGGACAACAAATATAAAATATGGAGGTTAAATACACAATCATAAAGTTTCATATCGAAAAAAGGCACACTGTTCAAAGTATCTAGTTTACACAAATCTCATACCGTATTTCATGCATTCAAAATTTATGAAAACATACTCGACCTCGGATAAGTCGAATACTTTGATCCGGTCCCTTCGACTTAGACATAACGAGGTTTGACTGTGACAGACATAAACCACTGAACTACAGGCTCCAGACTTGAAACAGGCACATAAAGAATGTGGTAGGGTTAAACATGTTTGAAGGCGCCAACACTCCCCCTAACCTTGGACTGTGGTGTAACAGTACAACAGAACAACAAACTATAAAAATAAGTTGAAAAGGGCTTTACTTATCAGATCGCTGTAATACAGAAAAAAACATCTAACAGAAACACAGACTGGACGTGGCAGGTATTTAAACATCCACAAAACACAAAATACACAAAGTACAGATCTGAGAGTACTCACAGTTATTGACAACTAGTTCAAAGTCAACAACTAATGATGAAAATTATGTATATAAGAGACAGTCTTTCTTTAGAATTTTGGTTTGATTATTATTTCTTCACTTTTCATCTCTATTTTTATAGGCTGCTGAGAGTAGTAATTTAATGCGACGTCTCCAGTTAAAAGATCTCATTCCTACTCAGATGATGCGTCTAACTAAGTATCCATTATTGATAGAAAGCCTTATGAAATATACAAGTGGTAGGTTCTTCTAAACAAAGTATTCATTACTTATTAGGGTTGGGCCACCCTTAAAAAATTATTTATTTAATGTTGCCTATCCATGCCTCATAGGGTTGGGTAGGTAGGTAGAGATTTTTTTTTTGGCCAACACCATATTAGGGATCATAGATTTATTCTTACGAGGAAGCTCGGAGCATGCTCGGAGGATGCTCGGAGCTTTTTTAGTAGGCTCTTCTCAGCAGTTTATGTGATAATAATTATCATGATCCATTAAGATGTCAATCAAATCTATAGCACTTCTATAATAAGGAAGATAGAGCATTATAGAGGAAGCTCAATTAACACCTGTGTAAACATCTGGTCTATTCAAATAAATCTTGAATGAAATTTTACAAAACTATAAAATAGATAAGAAATTCTTCAATAGTACTGTACAATGCTTGGCAAGAAATATCAAGTCTTCACAGGAAGATAATGTTTTTAAAATATTTTCTTATTTATAATCATTCTTTTTCAATACAAAAAAAAATACTCAAATTTTATATTTAAAATATAAATATAGCTTAATTAAATTTATACTACATAAAATTAAACATAAAAGTCACCAAAGACAAAAACTATGGTAGTAGATTTATAATCATTTGTTAAACTTTATATGCAACAGTAAATTTTAGTTCTTTAATAGAAAATGATGGCTACTTTGGGAAAAAGTTGTAATTCACAGGCTGGGTTGAAAGACTGTTCACAATATAATAATTATGATAAATTGATTTTACTTCAGCAATCCTCTATATCTATTTCTTGAATAAATTTTTTGATTTTGTTTTTATGATAATTAAATGGATTCAGTGGATCAAAAACTTTACAACAAAAAATTATACTTTGTTCTGGAATCCCTTTTGTCTTATTTTAAATTCTAGTTCTTCATTACATTGATTTGTATAAAAATTGTCAACTTATTTTCTCAAGTATCTCTTTTAAGCTTAATCAAAATGCAGAAAGTCATAATTACATTTGATATCCCTGAATGATAATTGCAAGATTTCCATTTCATATAAACCTCCTTTCTCTATTTATAAATGTGAACAGAAGAGCAAATCATCATCAAATTGAGAAGTCATTTACACTATCTATTTTGCTGTCTGCTTAAAATTTAGAATTTTGATTCATTACCCTAATGCTTTAAGTCAATTGAATACCAGTTTAAAACATACTGTTATTTTATACTATGTATTATAACTGCAGTTAAAAATTCTTGTAATAATTTATTTCAAGTTAGGAAAATGGAATTTAGAAGTTTTAGTGTTTGAGGCCTAGAGAACAGGCAATTTTCTTGAATAATTTGCAGACTTGACTTATATATTCTAGGTCCCTCACTTACAAATATTTAAAGATGTATAGTAATTATAGTTCAATTTGGTTTGCTTAAAAGCATTTTTGATTCAGCATACGACTCTCATGACTGTAGGAACATGACAATAGGTAGTCACAACTATACCACTTTAGTTTAGGGGTTAAATTATTATTTATCTACCATATATAAAATAATCCAATATCATCTGTTTCTATCTTATTTTTTTATAACTGTATTTAAAATTGGAATCAATTATTATTGTTGAAGATGTTTTTTATTTAACAGCATACAGCATTTTAATATTAACAAAATATTTAATATGGAGCATAAAAGAGGATGCTCTAAGATAATTATCCCTACTGAAACTGTAAAATGGGTTATTCCCTCAAACTATAATGTTTATATAATGTATCATGCTGTGATATAAACCTTTTATAATAATGTTTTGCGCCTACACAGATTTCTAAACAGTATTATTGGACAGACTGCAGAGTGACTTGTATCAATATTTACTTTTAAATTGTGTGATCATATTTTACTTGTATGAATTGAATATTAAATAACATAAAACAAGCAAAAAATAATTAATTCAACTCCAAACAACTGCCACAATGTCCTATACTAATGAACATAATTATGCCTGAAATTCTTACTAACTTTGATTTATGTTTTTTTTTTTTTTATAATTATACTCATGAAAGCTAAAAAGAAAAAAAAATAACTAGTTTGAATCTTATAGAAAAATTTTTAGTATATATATTTATATTTTTAGGATCTGTTTTATATTGATAGTATGTACTGATAAAGGCCTATATAAAATGACTTTCTACATACAGGCGTTAACTAAGCTTCCTCTACATTGCTTTACTTTCCTTTTGATAGAAGTTGTTTATATATATTAAAAAGTCATTCGAGAAAAGGAAATAGAGGATTGCTGAACTAAAATCCATTTATTTTACTCCGTTATATTGTCAAAATTCTTTCAGGTGTAATACCACCAAAATATACAGTACATTCCGGTTATTTGCATAGCCTATTTGTCAGACAAAATTATGCAATAAAGCGGAGTATGCTTATATCCGAAATGCCAAATTACGGAGTCAAATAACATCGATAGAACAGATCAGTAAAGGAAATCCCTGAAGAAAGATGAACGTCTATAATCCAATTACAACATATTGAATGTTGATTTATTCTAATAAAAGTTATATGTCTAGTGTCATACATGTTATTTTATTTTGTATTATTTCAATAAAGATTATAAACACATTTTGTTTTAGTTTATTTGCGTACCGACGTTTCCTTTAACAGTTTACCTGGGATACGAAAATAAATTCGTTCTAAAAATAGATTTGTTTCTATGACCCGTATGTACAATGTACATTGTTACGCTTTGATTAAAATAAACTGTTTAACAAAATTACACAGTTTATAATCATTTTAACAATAGATGTGTACTAAACTGCCTTTGATATACAAAATTTACAGCTTGCAGAGTGAAGTAACACTGTTTATTTAACTTCGTTAGTTTCGTATATGCAAAGCAGTAATGGGGCCCAGTACGGGTTATTTGCTGGACACGAGTATTGAAAGTGAGAAAATATAATAATTAGAAGTAAATGCTCTTTTCAACATATATTAAAATTAAATGATTGATGAATAAAATTCTTTAACCATATATAAATGCCCTGTAATATTTAACATAAATGCAGATCATCCCAAGCCCAATTACGAGAGTTCACATTGGATAATGATCGATAATTAGCAGGCGTTATTGTTTTTGAATTTCACCCCAAATGTAATCTATGGACAATGTTTGAAATCCAATCAATTATTTACACCTTTTTAGATAGAATGGTCAGTGTTTTTACAACAATTAGCTGTTTGACATTTTTATGACCTCGAGGCTTAAAATAGAACATGGGAAACTTTACCTGTGTAGACATCGAGGTTTATTTTTAAATCAAATTCAATCATATAAACACGAAAGAAACTGTTTTAAAACTTTATTTGAATAACACAAAAGTAAATATGAAATAATAATGAAAATAATGATGCATTCAAGAAAAATACACTCACCAACTTGCCGTTTCCGGTCAAAAATTTCAACAGATTTAACCAAGCATATCTAGATGGCGATAATTTTCTATGCAATAAACCGAAAGGCCACCTGTAGAGCTATGCATATAACCGGACAATTTAACATTAGATGAATAGGAAATGGTTTTGTGCAGGAGAAAACTATGCAATTAACCGAATTATGCTATTAAGCGGTATGCAATTAAGTGGAGTCGACTGTAGTACATTCAGTTTCAAGCCAGAAATGGTTGATTTTTTTTTATATTCCATTTAATTTGACAGTTGTTGGAAATTAACCCTGCATTTCATTGCAGAAAGTTTTTTTTGGGGTCGTTAACATGTATCTTGGGTGTTTCAAAGCAATAAAAAATTCTATTGGTGTTGCTATAAAATATTTTGGAAATTTAAGGGGACATTGCTACTAAAGCTGGTAAACAGGAAAAAAAAGGGGGAGAGGAATTTGACTGGTTAACTTCTGGTGACGTTTAATATCTTATCTGCAATGAAAAGTTATGTTGTATTTTCACTGTAGTACTGGACAGGATAAATCTTCACTCATGTAGAGTATTTCTTTATTTAAAACATAGATAAATTCATCACATTTAATAAAAAAAATTCGTAAGGGTTCCGCGGAACCCAGTGTCTCGCCTACTTTTGCTGTTAATCACAGGCTCAACAAAAATGAGGAAAAAAGATCAATAAAAATATTCCTTTAAATACTATCTTTTGATTGTAAGAAGCTACTGTCAAAGTTTGGTATAAATCCAGGAAAGTTTATGAATCTAATAAATGTTTTAAAAACTTTAACTGCAGACTGTATTTAATGTTAACTGGAAGAAAAACTAAGTCCATTTATAAGTAAAATACGGATAAATAGGTACAAATTTTAACAAAATTTCCTTCTAGATACTAGCTTTTGATCATAAACAAGCTTCTGTCCAAATTTGGTACAAATCCAGGATAGTTTAAGAAAGTTATTAAAATTTTAAAAACTTTAACCAGAGTGAAAATATTGTTTCCTGGCAGAAAAACTAAGTCCATTTATAACTAAAATACGGAAAAAATGAAATTTTTTTTTTAACAAATTTACTTCTGGATACTATCTTATGATCATAAACAAGCTTCTGTCCAAGTTTGGTACAAATCCAGGATAATTTAAGAAAGTTATTAAAATTTTAAAAACTTTAACCACAGAGTGAATGTATTGTTTCCTGGCAGAAAAACAAAGTCCATTTACAAGTAAAATACGGAAAAACAGGAATTTTATTTTTACAAAATTTACTTCTGGATACTATCTTATGATCATAAACAAGCTTCTGTCCAAGTTTGGTAGAAATCCAGGATAGTTTAAGAAAGTTATTAAAATTTCAAAAACTTTAACCACAGAGTGAATATTTGTGGACGCCGCCGACGACAACGACGACGACGACGACGCCGACGGAATGTAGGATCGCTATGTCTCGCTTTTTCGACTAAAGTCGAAGGCTCGACAAAAAGGCAAATTAAACAAAGACTTATGGGGGAAAAACAATTTTATGTTTAATTTTCCCTGCAGTAATTGACAGGATAAAACTTTACTCACGCCAAATATCTCTTTATTTAAAACAAAGATGAATTCTACACAATTAAAAAAAAAGTCAATTAAACAGAGACGTACTAGGGGAAAAACATTGGTGATATTACCCCCTCAAACCAGCCTTCCAATAATGAATTACAACTTTTCCTTAAGTAGCCATAATTTTTTATAAAAGAACTAAGTTTGCTATTTTATATATATAAAAAAAAAACATATTACCATTGTTTAGTTAGGGGCATTACTTAAACAATTATTTTTCAAAATTACCTATGCAATTTATGTTAAAAACGATGCTATATCATATATTACTTCTATTTCATGTATAAGTAACTTATTTTAATATTATTTTTATATGTGTCCATTCATACAGGTTTTAATAGCTTTAACAAATTTTCACAGACATCTGGTTATTTTTCCCATGAAATATAAAACTAATCCTCCTGAAACACTAATTGACTTTCTGAGCCACGCTTCTGGGTCAAAGATTGTCCTCTTGGGACTATTAAAATACCATTTTCCTTTAAAATCTTAATGGTAGACAAATATAAATAGATGGAACCTTGTGATTTAATTAAGACTTGAAGTTATTTATAATGTGTAATCTAAAACAATAACATATGTTCCATAAATAATTATAAGTGCTAAGTTTTTCAAAGATGTATAAAATAATTTATAAAAGTAATAATTTTGTCCTCATTTTTAAAGTAACCTTTTATCTCTATACTCATCTCACATTTGATAAATACTTAATTTTATTTAATAAAATTATATAAAATTCTTAAAAACTACATTTAGTCCATGCTACTATTGACATTTAAAATAACTATTGAGTTATTAAATAATTTTTAAAAACGAAAAAAATTATAAGTAACTAAAAAAAAATTTACTTGTTTAGTATCGCCCCCTGACTGTTGTTTGTGCCTTGATGACTTTTATGTAGCATATTATATAGCATAAACTATATCTAAATTATATAATCTAATTATAAAATTTAAGAATTTTTTTTATTATTAAAAAAGAATGGTTATTCAATATAATAAGAAAATATTTTAATGACTTTTACTTTTTGTGGAGACGACATTTCTTTCCAAGCATTTCCCAGTACTGTTGAAGAATTTCTAATCTATTTTATAGTTTTGTAAATTTCATGCAAAATGTATTTGAATATACCAGATGTTTACACAGGTGTTAATTGAGCTTCCTCTATAATGCTTTACTTTCCTTATTATAGAAGTGCTATAGATTTGATTGACATCTTAATAGATCATGATAATTATTGTCACATAAACTGCTGAGAAGAGCCTACTTAAAAAGCTCCGAGCATCCTCCGAGCATGCTCGGAGCTTCCTCTTAAGAATAAATCTATGATCCTTAAGTTACATGTTGTAGACAAGAAAACGACGTTAGAGCAGGAACAAATCTTTAAAAAAAAATTGAAATGATTTGTGTCATTAAATTTTTCGGGTAGGCTGTTATTTAAGTGGGTAGGTAGGCAACATCATACAATTTAAATTTTATTTTTGGCCTTTTTAAAGAATTATTTAACCAAACTATCTACAGATATGAAAAACATTTTTATCATTTATAGATTTTCTTCTATTCAAAGCAAAAAAATCCATGGAAAGAAATATTTAAGTATTTCCCACTGATGGACTAAATGGTATAGAACTGAAAATCTATCTTCTGTTTTTGTTGTTGTGTGTAATGAAGATGTAAACAAAATATTATTACTTTATTATAGATTTTTAAGAGACAGACAGTTGACAATTTAGAATTTAAAAAATGCAGATCTAAAGAATTTGACGATAAGGGGACAATTTTGGTCTTACATCTTGTATTACAATCATGGTTAAATACATTGCTGTGTATCAATATATTAATTGAACATATAAATATTTGTTACAGCCCAATCAGAGGAACATGCCAAATTAGAGAGAGCATTACAATGTAGTAAACATATCTTAGAATATGTTAATCAAGCTGTCAAAGAATATGAAAATCATTATAAATTAGAACATTTACAACGCAAAGTGGAGAAAAAATTAGATGGTCTTGCAACAGATGATTGTGATTATAAGAAAATTAAAGTAAGTTTAATGATAATATGAATTACAGAACTCTAGAATATAGAATAAATAGTTGCTGAATTAAAAAACAAGTTTCTGTGATTGGCAGAATTTATTTAAATTAGACTTCTCCTCTGAAATTATGGTATTGATGTAACATATAGATATAGTTGATTATTATTTTACTGTCAATGTAAATGTGTCCTTTAGGGATCATCAAAAAGTATTAAAAATTTACTGACTACTGTGAAGCTCATTATTTGACACTGTACAAATTCATTATTATGATGTATGTGATCCAGTCTCAAGCCTCAGTGTATATACTGTAAACATACAAAGGATAAGGTCTGGTAAGGGCTAATTTTGGCCTAAAATTTGAAGTACATCTGATGAAATATTTTTTTTAAAAACTTAAGTGTCTACTTAAGTTGATTTAATTAGTTTATGTAAAAGATTTTAACTAATTTGGTCATTACAGACGCTCAAATTCAAGCTTAATTATGAAAAATCTATTAAATATGCCATAAAAAGTCACTTTTTAAATGGTTTTTGTCTAAAATGTAAGTGACTGCATTCGTGTTCAGTCTCAAAATTTATATATGTTTTATCATCAAATACAACATATATTTGAATATTAAGACTGAACACAAGTGCGGCCACTTCCATTTTAGACAAAAACTGTCTAAAAATTAGCACAAATGCTAAAATTGTGAAGGCTAGTACCTGATGCATGTGCATTGTATTGTCAAAAACCATCTCATATTTATGTAACAAAAGTATTCTTCTTTCCAATAAATAACTAAAAGTTTACATTTTTAACAAATATTTAAAAAGCTATATTTTGGTGCCAAAAAGAGCTCTTACCGAGTGTACTCCTTTGTTTGTGATTTCTAATATATTGTACAGGGCTTGTCAATTTATATAAATTGGTTTTCAGTCATTGAATAATGAATTAACTTACTTTGAAACATTTAAATTGACTTTAAACATGTGTTTTTAAAGGAAAACAAAGGTATAAGGTATGATAAGGCAACTTTTTTGGACACTAGAATTTGAAAAAAAAAAGATGTTCATAAGACATATTAAATATGTCGGACATCAGTATTTATATTTTTGAATTTTAGATATATTTATTTATAAGACGATCATAGTTTCACATATTTGCAATGATTTATTTTCGTGGTGTTTTTCTGCTTGAGAAAATTGTGAATAATTTGTTGGTTTACAGTATTTAAAGGTTTTATAAGAATGGTGAGAATATATGGACAACAAAAGTTTGTTACATTACACTTTTTCAGTGTAAGTCCCTGATCATGAATAACTTGTTGCAGATCATAGAATAGCTTGTTAATATCTCACAAGTTAGAAACTTTTTGTAGATTTAAGCACTCGAATGACGTCATTTGGAACCTATTGTCTGGTAAAACTCAGAATTGTATTTTAGAAGTCTGATATTAAAAAAATGAACTTGTCTTTATTTTTCAGGAATTAGATTTAACGAAACATAAATTAGTGTATGATGGAGTTTTAACATGGAATATAAACCAAAGAAAAACTGTTGATGTTCATGTTGTTTTGTTAGAGGATGTGTTAGTGTTATTACAAAAACAGGACGAAAAATTAGTGTTAAAATTTCAAAGTACTCAGCTGGTGGCGGGGAAAGATGATAGTAGATATATGTTTAGTCCGTTGTTAGAATTAAGTTCTGTTTTGGCAGCTAACAGTAAAGCAACAGGTATGTTTAGACATGTTTTTACATGTATAATTACTAAAGTGCCATTTATGAAATGAGAAAACAGTGGAATCTTAAAGTATTTGCTCAACCAGCCCAATTGAGCCATAATCAGCTAATGTTATCACATATGTTTTTACTTTTGTAAACTTTCTTTCAAAAATCATCTCTATACAAGTTTGATGTAACTTTGGCCTGATTGATCATAGTATCTTGTTGGGCACCATGGCTATAAATAGAACATAAGGGTAAAATATCTTAAAATCCATAATGGATGAACAAAATCTGACCGTTGTAAGGATGGCATAAAATTATCAGAAACAGTGGTACCAATTTTCAGAACCCATGAATTCAAATGTTCAAAGAAGTATAAATTTCTATAGGCTTGTATTCAAACTTTTGTAAAACCACAAATTCAAATTTCATGAAAATACCATTTTCGGCAATCCATGAAAATTGGTACCAACAAAAATAAATGAATCCACAGTAGCTCCTGTATTGTCAAGATATTTGTCACTTATATTTCTCCCAAGATTATCAGACAACTCCTTCAGGTGTGTTTGTTCATTACTATTCTTATCCTGATATTAACATGAATATCAATATAGCACATTTTATCCAGAAGAGGGATTCAGTTTCCTAGGAGCCTCTAGTTTGAAAATGGTTAGTAGTTTGATAAAACAGGGAATTGTTCAAAATTTTTAAATACCGAACAGGAAATCAAATCAGGTTTCTTTTGTGTAGTTCTAAAAATGTTTAGAATTTTTTGTTTCTCAATTCTCAAATGTCACACTGGTACAGAATCAGGAATAAGTGCAGTGTCTGTGTTAAAACTTTAACAATTATCACATAACTAATGAGTTGTTCTCAAAACCTTTCACAGCTAAATAAAAGTGATGACTTCATGCATGTTATATAAATGATAAGGTGTAAATTATGAGCAGGTGCTTGCTTGTAAAAAAAGCTATATTTTAATAAAGATCAAGCAATAGGGAATATCTAAATTTATAGGTGTAAGACACTTTCTTGGAACAAAGTTCATCATGTTCATTAGAAATATTGTAAATTCAGAAATCATGCATCCGTTTATTATTTCGAATTTTGAAGAATGAACAAAAATTCCAATTTAATTATTGCAATTTCAGGAAAATCTGCATGATGATATATGTATCGAATTCAGAATGCTTGTTCTCATTATTGCAATACTCACACGGTCGCATTATTTGCATTAATAAAAACCTCACAATAATTCATGAATTTACAGTACTGACTAAACTTTGTAAAACCAGAAATATATAAAAACAATTGAGACCTAAAACCCAAAAGTACTAAAAGAATAGCAAGAAACATATAATGTTAACTTTGCCTTAGGATGTTAAATAAAATAATTAATGAAATACAAAAATAAATTCCCTGTATATAGATGTCCCTTGGTAAACATTTTCAGCTAAGGTACCTGTCAACAATTTTCAAAAGAAATTCATTCAGATTGTTGTCAGACAGAGTACACATGCATCTGATAATTTTCACCACAATTTTTAAAATGACTTCATGAATGAAAACATCACTAGAAATGTAGTAGTTTACCCAAAAAATTATCTGAATTGAATTTTTCAAATGTATGTTGTACATGTTTCAGATAAAAAAGCCTTTTTTGTTGTGGCTAAATCACAGATTTATGAGTTATCAGCTCATACTGGAGAAGAACAAAAAAAGTAAGTTACAAAATCATTAGTGTAGGCTTAATAGCTTTGTAACTAAGTATGTTTGATAATCTGTGAGTCAAGAATTCTAAGTGTTCAGCAAGATTTTATAACACATTAATAATATGATATTTGCAAGGGCCTTGCCGTTGTGTGGGGGGTATCAAATATGGAACAAGTATTCATATTTGCCAACCTCTGACAATGAGAAATCATGTCATGACATGACTTGACATGTCAAAAAGCGTGTGAAAACTCGTGACGTAGATGCAGACTTTTTAATGGGAACAATGTTCATAATTTCACATAATACAAATTATTAATTAAATATAAGAAACAATATTCAACTGTAAACTTTTATTGTATTCAACAGTGGTCTGTTTTGCTGCTTTTAAAGCAACATCACTAGGCACATATTCAAAACAACTGCCAGTTTGGTTACATTAACTTGATAACAAGGCACACAATATATCATTGTCAAGTTCTGATTAGAATTCAGTGTGAATTTCTTTATAATTGAAAATGCTCTCTCACAGTAAGAATTGATATTTGGGTGAACTAAAATAGCTTTATCAAGCTTCGAAAGAGTGTCATAACGTTTTTTTGCCATCTAAAATGTCATCTTTAATCTCTGCCATTGCTCCCAACAAACTATATATGATGATATTGCCTGGTCAAACTGGGTAGTTCATCAGAAGACAGCTGGTACTATGAGAACTGATCCAACAGTTCCGTGATATTTCCATCCCCTAAGGCCTGTGGAAATCTGTTGGCTCTATTTGAAACTGAAAAAGAAAAATATTTTATAATTTGATTACCATTTATTGATAAAACATGTTAAATGTTTAGTCAAATAGCTACATTGTAGTTATCCTCTCACATGTTTTGTTATGATTGCAACATAGGGTGCACAATGCGTTACTCGTCCCTTGATCATTTAAACTCGAACTGTTTTATTTATAAATCTTGAATCTTGGTACGTACACATCGTTTTCGCTATCGAAAGTATGAAAAGATTGTATATGCCCCTCATAGTGAATATTTTGGGAGTGTGGGAACTCGAAAAAGAAGGGAAAAGTAGTAATAGTAAATGGAAGTATGAGAAAAGAGAGGAGGAAAGGTAAAAAGTTTTGGGAGGTAGGAAGTTGTGGTAGACCAGGAAAACTGAGCAGTGGAAAGGAAAGAAGGGGACAAATGTAAAGATTCCCTTTTTCTCCTTGATAATTCCATACAATAGAAAGATGTTTTATTCTAAATTACCTGAAAAAAATTTGTGGTTATTAGTATCACTGTAGAGAAGTGATGGAGTTGTTAAAACATGATTACAATACAAGTTAGTGACCCTGCATACTCAAAATAGATAAACAACTGTTTCAATCAGATGTCTATGTCAAGTACATAAAAACTCCCTTTTCTATTTCTCCTTGCAGGTGGATAAAGTTGATCAAAGAGTCGGCAGATTCACATAAGAGAAATAAGTCAACTGCTAACCAACTCAGACCCTCTACAAGTCCTGGCAGGTAAGATAAACAGTTGTGATTGTTGGTGGTAAAATATTAAGCATAAAGGACAAACATGAGGTAAAATCAATATAGATCCAAGCCCCATGAAATATTTTTGTCCCTCACCTGAATTGTTGCTGGGGACATAGAAATACCCGGTGTCTGTCCATCTGTCCATCCAGTCTTGTTAGTGTTTTCACGTGAACAATTGTTGCCAGATTTTTATGAAACTCATATCAGCAATGTCTTGGGCAAGTTCGAAAATCATTGCCGCTGAATTATTTTGAAAAGAGTTGTGCCGCTTGGAAGTTTAAATTATATGGGAAATTGCATTGTAAGAGCTTTCATGTGTACAATTTGCCAGATTTTTATGAAACTTATAGCATAGGTTTAAATCAACAACCTGTCTCAGACAAGTTCCAGTTCAGTGCTGATCAATTGAAAAGAAAAAGAGTTATGCCCCTTGGAAATATTAATTATATAGAAAATTGCATTTTAAGTGCTCTCGTGTGTACAACTCTTGCAAGATATATATAAAATTTATATCAAAGGTTTATATCACCAATGTCTGACAATTTCGATATTAGTGCCCATCAACAATTTTTAAAAAGAATTATGTCCCTTGTAAATATCAATTGTATGCAAAAATATATTGTTAGAGCTTTCAAACTTTCATTTCTCTAAGATATGTATAAAAAGTTTTTAAAGAACAAAAAAATTTATATTTTTTTTAGTTATTGTATTTGGACAGATAAAATATGTGCAACACCGGGGACAATGGATTTCAGTCATTTTACCTAATGGTTTCATACCTTTTGTCTTGCCTGCTACAAAAGTCGCTGAATTTTGTCGCAGAAAGTAAGATATAGGGATTGCTTTTCTGGTGACGGCTGCGGCAGTGGCGTCAACAATTGTTAAGTTTTCTGCTTAAGTTAGTTTGATAGGAACTACTTGTGATAGATCATTGATATTTAATATGAAGTTGCATTACTATCAGTACATATCAGTCTGAAGACTATTTCGAGGCCTTGCCACCTAGGTCATGGTCTAGTGAATTGAATTAATTAGCAATGTTGCTGTCCATCAGATTGTCTTTTTCTGAATTTTTTGCGGACAGGCCAGACATATCTCTGTGTCAACAGTTTGTTTGAGTAAATAGCACCTCCATGAAACATAAATTTTGAATGTTTGTTTCTTTGTGGTATCATGTACAATTATTATTATAACATTGTAACTGTTTATTTGCAGACTTGAGGAGGAGAAGGGTCCTAGAAGGATCTTCAGTTCTGATATGATGGCTCAAGCTGATGTAACTCAGGAACCTTTACTAGAACAACCTGATAAAATAATCGTTTCCAGTCCTGTAACTTCTGTAGCAGAACCAGTTCTCACACCATTAGGTACCAGTTATATTATTTGTATGGTGATTTAACTTTGATGCTTACATGTATTTATATTTGATTGAAAAATTAAAAAAAAAGATATGAAAGTCTACCGATGGAGTAAATTGATAAATTTATATTTCAACCAAATTTTTTATTTAAGATTCTCTTCATTTTTTCTTTTGAGTTGAGATTATACTGAAAGAAACAGACTAATACTTAGAAATTACAGAACTCCCATCAAAAGTTACTAAAACATTTCAGAAACCCAGTTTTGCGCACTTTCATAAAAATAAAGTTGAAGTGGTTTTTTTTCTGTAAATGTCAAGCACATGTGAGAGCTAATTTTTTTTACCATAGCTATTTTTCATATGGAAAAAAAACTATTGAGGTTTGTGTGGTTCTGGCATGCAGTTGATGTTTCATAGTCATGTCAAAGCTAAGCAATTTTGCCAGTTTAAGATTGAAAATTAAATTTTTCTTTTCAAATGTCAGGAAATATTCATATTATTATTTACGCTCTATTTTTGATGTCGTAATACTGATTATTCAGAAAGGAAAACTATACTAACCTTCATACATCAGCATGCTTTAGAAGCAAGCCATTTGTGAGATTTTGAAAATACATGTATGTTATGATGTTAAAGTAAATGTAGATGTATAAAGTAGAACATTAGAGTAACTGTAATGTAGAGAAGTGTTTTTAACACGTATAAACCCTTATCTCAACTAATTTGAGATGTAATATTTGCCAGCAAGCAGGCAACAATTCCAGTTAGTTGTATATTGATAGCTCACATTTTCTTTGTTCCTGTAACTTTGCCTTTGGTACATGGACAATTTAACACAGGTGATTTTTGCTCCCATGAATTTGCTGGTAATGTAACAATCATCTAAAATATAGTGAATTTCATTTAAAACCTCATTACAAGTTGACATTATTTTTTATTTTCATTGAAAATACTGAATTGACAAGAATTTGGTGTGGATTTTAAGCAGTTATCAAACAATCGATTATAAAATTAATGTGAGTGAAATTTGCCTGTGTATACATAGTATTAAACTTCTTTTTAAAGTTAGATATGTTATATTTAAGCATTATCTTTGGCTTAAGTATTTTTCTTGAGCCATTCGTAATGTGGAAACATAATATATATATATCTATCTATAGAAAGAAGGTGTTTGTCTTTCATTCACCTACATCCTGTACTGTTAATATTGTCTTTTCTGACGAATTTCTTTTTTTTTTTTAATTTTTTGTCCCAAAATTGTCCTCAATTTACAAATTACGTATTCACAGGTTCAAATATAGATATTGACTTTAAATTTTGATTCCAAATCTGACATTGTTAATAGAACTTTCAAACCCTCTGAAGAATATTACTACATAATATTTTTAAAAATTAAACGAAAATGCCATGATATTGAAATTAATACATATATAAGATTGTTCTTCAAGCTATGCAGTAACTGGCTTAATTGGAATTCTTAAAGCTGCTATTTTTATTTGGTACAGTAGTTGAAAGAAATACAAACATGTGATTCATTAAGAGCATGTTGATTTCCTTCCCCCTGCATGATATGTTACATGCTTGTTTTTAACCTGTCTAGAGCGAGCAAGGAGACTGGATGAAGCTGTTAAAGAAAACTTGGAAGAAAAACGAAGACTGGTGGCAGAAATTATTAATGATGTTGATGAAAGAGATCGTCTAGAACAGGTCAGTCTTGGTCAAAACTTATACTACCCTACCACCAAAGTATTGTTTCTAACTAAAGGCAATATTTTTCTAAAATCAAACTACAATTCTGTTTCCCTGTGGATATCCCCTTTACAAACCTCTTTATATGGCCCCTGAAATTGCAAAGATAGGGAAATACATATACTACAATGCTTTCAAAATTATGATATAATCTGGAAACTTTAGTACAGAACTGTCAATTGTCTTCATAAACATGTTGAAATGAACATATTTTACCTGAAATGGCTATTTTACACACAAAAAAGACCTGGTCAATCCATCTTGATTTAAAGTCACATAATAGGACAATTTCAATGGATGAAAGGCAAAAATTGAAATGATTAATTGGTATCTTGTGAATATATGTAGAAATTTGATCAAAAGTCAAGTAAGAGAATATTTTACTTTTTTGATTCATGATATATTTGTGTCATAATGGATAAGTTAAAAATATTTTATTTTCAACAGATACCTGTGTCTCCTGAAACAGAATCGTTACACAACACCATCCAAGAAGCAATGGAGGAATGCTCCAGTTTTATAATTGAAATTTGTGATAGAGAATGTATGTTGTACTACTAACACTGTCAGAAAACTTACATTGGTCACGGCACCAAAATGTTTTTTCAAAGCAATAATTTAAGTCAAAACCTTTGAAGATGCAGGTTTACTCATTTGGGTACTGTATATATTAATATGAATAAGTATTAATAACTTACCTTTGTTATTGATGGTGAAGCAATTGTCCAATATCAGATTTATTACAACTTCAAGATGAATAAGTTTATTGAAATTTCAAGTTGAAATGTTTACCTGTTTTTTGATACACGAGTTAGATAGATATAACATATAAAATCAAAAGCATGAATTTTGCACTGAACAAAGCATGGTGTGTATTGATTGGCATGATCTTAACAAAACACTAACTCGAATAATTCTTTCTGATAAATTCTTAAATATGTTGACATGAGGAATCTTGGGTAATTGCCATCCATATCGTTTAATACTTGGTCTATTAATATTTTCAGCTGGTCTAATGCAAGAGAACATACAGATGCCTATACCAATGGACAAACTGAAGGAAATGGCTAACAGAATGAACCAGATACTTACAAATCTGTTGGTAAGATATGGCTACATCATGCATAATCGTTTCATTGGGGAAAAAAGCTTGTTAGGTATAATCATGGTTTGTCTTCTTACCTTATGAATGTTATCTGTTTGGATAACTGGAAACAATTTGGAATAAACACTGATTTCATGTTCAAATTAAATTCCATGTAGAAATGAAATCAACTCATTTTTTTTTCTTAGTAAAAATTGGTATCTAAATATTCAATATGTGTCATCTATTAGAAATTCTTTACAAAGTGAGAAAACACCAAAAGTAAATATAGGACACATTGTTTTCATGTGTTTATGATATATTCATCTTTATAGACAATACAATTGTACCTAACAAGTTTATAATGAAATGGTATTAGTCTTCATTTTAAAATCATTTTAGCTGTTGCAAAATTCAGTAGCTTTCAATGTCCATTGTAAAAGTTGTCTGATATGTTAATGTGTTAAAATTTTGTGTGCTGGTGATTTATAGGTTTATAATAAGTATTGAAATATGTCAATGAAAAACTCGAGAGGATCATTAAAGTTTTGATATTTGAAAATTTATGAAAACTTTTAATGCAGATTTTTTTCTTCTTCAATGAATGTCAATGAAAAGATAATAATTTCAAAACAACTTTAGAAATGCATTAACGTGGAAACAGGTTTTGGTTTTGAAAGACTTTTTTAGGAAATATTTTCTTATTTGTAAACCGGAAATTATTCAATTGTCTAACGTCAACTGTGACTAAAAATCTAATTTGCTCAACATTTTATTGCTTAAATTATGTGTCTTGTCTGAGCCTAACATTGCTATAATAGCTCCTCACACAAATGTTACTTGTTATTTAACTGATATGCTTCATGGATGCTCAAGCTATGACTAAGAAATACCTAGGGCTATTTTCTTTGTCATTTTTGAAAGAACTCTGAGGAAATGAGCAGATTTTTTTTTTTAAATAAAAAAGAATTGATCTTATTCCTCCAATAAAATGACCTGCAGCTGAATTCAACATATCTTATTGTAATCAAAACAACAGAAAACATGGTTTCAAAAATATATAGATGAGAGGTCTGGGACCTGTGTATAATGTTGAATATGAACCTTCAATAATTTGATGGTAAAAGTATGAGGGACTTCACAAAATATTTGGTTTAGTTGAATTATAAAGGATAAAACAGAACTATGATAAAACAAAGCCTGTTGCAAAAACAAAGCCTGTTGCAAAAACAAAGCCTGTTGCAAAAATAAAGGGTAAAAATAAAGTGCTAGTTAAGAAAGAGAATAATAAATCTTATTAAGAATCAAAAAGGGGGATGCTTCATTCCTTAACTTTATGTCTGTAGTTAATTGTATATTTATAGTATACAAAGTAAAGAGGAATGTCAGATTTAATGTTTTCACTATTCAGGAGAAGACAAGGGCATATCATGCTCTACGGGCAGCTGGACAGGATTCATCGGGCGTGAGTGATCAGCATTCAAGAATTTGCGATACTAATTATGATATTTCATATGCAATATTTGAATAAGTTTATATTAACACAATAATATTTGCAACAATGGCTTGCCTATTTTTATTTCATGTTGGCATGCTTATGAAATAAACAGTATTTTTTACATTATGACTAGAAAACTGCAGTATATACAGGAGTGATGTCCCTTTATACAATCAAAATTTGCTGTCCTGACATTTTTTGCTTTGGCTATCGCACAGCTTGAATAAATTTAAAAAATTCTTTTCTTCTGTATTTGACCAATTGACAATTCTAGAAAAAGAGATTAAAGGAAACAATTATTAATATTATGTAGTATTGTTTCCATGTTATCTTTCATCAGTGCTTACCTTGATTGATGTTTATCACTGTTTAACCTGTCTCTGGTTGAGGTTATTGAAAGACGATTGATACATATGTTTATGTTACTATTCCAAGAAAAAGCCAGACCTTATCAGTCTTTGGAGCCATTTTTTTCCAATTTAGGAACTTGGTATTGCGTTCTGTTGTTCAATAATTTTTTGTTGAATTCATTCACTAATAATGATCATTTACAACATGCCACATGATGTAAATTGTTTTTGCCATTGAAGATTATTTTTTTGGTTTTCTTCAGTTGTTGAATTGATGACTGTTATTTTTGAATATTCCTTTAAATATTCTCTCAGCTGTCCTGTTCAAAGATTTTGGTTTGTTTTCATTCTTTCTCATCCTATGAAAATACAGAAGTACAGATTTTCGTATATCTTGTATTGTAAAAAAACTATATGTTCCTTTTGTCCTGGAATTTCTGTTCTTGTTCTTAAACAACTGTCTCATGGCCAGAACTTCTTCTTATTTGTTTTGTCTTAGTCTAACATTATGTTGGTGTATCACCATAAGACACTGTGTGTCACATGCCATCTCATGTCATATATGACCTTTGACCTTAAGTTCATTGATGTTTGGAAAGCAATCTTATAGGGGCAGGAACTTTTTAACTTTTCATATATCTTTTTATAAGTTTATAATATGTGGCATGTAGATGTATCATATAAGAACAATGTGATGTATACCAGGGAGATCTTCATTTGACCTTGCTTGTCTTGTAACCTTTTCTTGGATAGAATTTTACATCTTTTCACTTAGATATGTTATTTATATTTTTTTCATGTTGATGCATCAACATCAACAGAAGGTGATGTGTTGCATCTGAAGATCTAAGGTTTGACCTTCAGGTAAAAGTTTTGTAACATAAAATTTTAATACTTGACTTTCAGGTAAAAGTTTTGTATCATAAAATTTGAATTCTTAACCTTCAGGTAGAATTGTTTAATCAAAATTCATATTTATTCAAAATTTGATAAGGGTGAGTTTTCTGTTGTTGACTAAAATTTCTCACTAGTTGACATCCTTTTTAGTGATTTCCCCCAAAAATTATTATTTGAGCATGGCTGTGTCAGTCATGAATACTTCTATGAAACCTGTCACTACAGAACAATTAGAAAACAGCAAGAACTATGTGATTTCTCAATATAATGAGGAGTATGGAATTAATGTATAAACCAATGAAATAACACTTGTCTCAGCAGAGGGAAATCTTAATTATCTCAATCTTGATAATCTATGTTAATAATTTATTAAAAAAACATCAGAAAATCTGCATGACTTTTATTACCTGGGTGATTGATTTTTGAGGAGTGAAGTTTTTGAATTATTTTCATTTTCTGAAGTATGAGGTTTATTATTTGGAAAATATTCTTTTGTCTCCCATCTCTGCTTTCTACAGATAATTTTGAAATGATTCATTTAGTTGCACTGTTATATTTAATAATCATGTTTTATAACTCTCCCTTTTTTTCTGAAATATTATATTTATAATTTCTATAGTGTTAGCAAGGATTTGTACAGTATTGATATACAAATCCTTTTTTGTTAGTTATTCCACTTGAGTTTTTAGAAGTAGATGGTCATTTAAGATGGAAGCTTAACAGCATTCAGTACAGATTTATTTTATATAGTTTAGTGTAGATATTACAGTTAATTTTCAGTTAAAGATTTTCTAAATATAATCAGCATGCAGTTCCAGATTTATGAAAGGACTAGTATTTGAAAATCACATTAAAAGAGGGGCGAAAGATACCAGAGGGACATTCAAACTCATAAATTGAAAATAAAGTGACAACACCATGGCTAAAAAAGAAAAAGACTAACAGACAAACAATAGTACACAAAACACAACATAGAAAACTAAAGACTAAGCAACACGAACCCCACCAAAAACGGGGGGGTGATCTCAGGTGCTCCTGAAGGGTAAGCAGATCCTGCTCCTCATGTGGCACCCGTTGTGTTGCTCATGTTAGTACAAACCCGGTAAATAGTGTAATATGGTAGGTCACATTTGTGAAAAAGGGAACGGGATTGTAGTTACGACAGTAGGAACATGTCCACTGTGCCAATTTGATCCAAACCTTCATCTTTGAGGTATCTAGTTTTAGAAATGTAAATGATGAATCTACAAGGCTACTAAAGACAGAAATGCTCTTGTTGCATTGTATCAATTTAATGCTAAATCACCAAGGTGAGCAATACAGGCTCCTTAGAGCCTCTAGTTTAGTATAGTTCAACATGTAGCCAGTGTATTCTAGAAAAAATTAAAGTTACAAATTTTGATCATCTGTTGGAATTTGTGACATTGTTTTTATTTTTATTTGTCAAGCAGATGTTGAAAAGTTCTTGTTGGTTCTTAAAAAAAAAAACTTTGGGTTTTTTTAGTGGTTCTTTTGATCTTTTCTTTTAAAAATTTATTCAATTACTTTTGTTTTCTACAAAATTTACAGGCAGTAGTTGGAAATCGTGACGAGGAACGTGAGAGGTTAAGAATGGAACTTAAAGCCGCTCAAGATGAACTGAACATGCTGAGAGAAATCCAAAGAAAAGTATCGTCAACATCTCCACCAGATATAGTGGCCCCACTAGAGAGTGTGAAGCGTGAAAGACCTCAAAGTTTGGTGTCTGAGACATCAACTTTATCTTCAGATGATGGCACACCACAGCAACGAGAGGAAGGTATAACGAGAGACTGGTTTGATTAAAGAAACTTGGAACTCTAAATTTGCCAATAAAATTGGCTGTAGGATATTATGTATTCCTAACTATCTTCCACAATCAAAAAGTAGAATAACATGTCTTATAACCCAGAAGGCTTATTAGACATCTTAAATTTGAAATTTTTAATTTTATATTGGAAAAAAGAAGTATTAACAAAAATACAGAACTCCAAGGTAAATTCAAAAAGAGGGAAGTCCATAAAAACCTAACAAAATCAAACGTTAGACCATATCAACCAACGAAACAGATTTAAAACAACTGTCAGATTCCTGACTTGGTACAGTATTTTTTAAAGAAAATGGTGGGTTAAACCTGGTTTTATAGCTAGCTTAATCTCTTGTATACTGACTTTGTCAAATCCTTGAAATCACATATACAATTTTCGTCAATTCACGAAAAGTGGTGACAATGAAAATTAACTAATAGATAGTATTTTATATTTATAAACATTTCTTAGTTTTGCTTTAACATCACATCAATTATATTATATTGAAACTACCATGTCAGTTTAAAAACATTGTATGTCATCTACAATCATACACACAAAGAAAACACACATGCACACACATACAACAAACTATAACAGCATTTCTGAAGTTTAGTATATAGAAAAAAGTAAAATCACAAAAATACTGAACTCCGAGGAAAATTCAATCGGAAAGTCCCTAATCACATGGCAAAATCAAATGACAAAACACATCAAACGAATGGACAACAACTGTCATATTCCTGACTTGGTACATTAAAATTGTTTAAAAAAACAAGGTGTGTTTATAAATTGTACATTAAGTTGCAGTTATGAAGTATTTTTTGTCTGTTTACCTAGAAGTGTCAAAGGTCAGAATTAATACCTTGACCTTTAATTACCATGATTTAAGCCTCACACCACTCCATCACTACTAACAATCCTGAACTTGATTTAATGTCTTGATAAAGAAAGTCTACCAATATACTTGTCTCTAAGAATAATACTGATAATATTGTTTCAGCTGAATCAGATAGTACTGAAGATATCCAAATGATGGAAGAGTCCACAGAACTTATTGAACCAGAAGTTGCCATAGCAACTGAAATCCCTCAGTGCATTGACACAAGTGACTTTCAAGAAATTGAACCCTCAGATGAAGAGACAATAGAGGATTTAGATGCTCCACAAATTCCAGAAAATGATTTAATTCTCGATGCTGAAGTGCTGCATATATCTAATGTTCAAACCGAGTCAGAATTAGTTGAGGAAGTTCTAGATTTAGACTCATTATCTAATGACAATAAACAAGAATTAGATTCTATAAATGAAGAGGTTAAAATCAAGGACAATACTACAAATGAAAGCTGTGATATTCCTAAAGAATTCCACGACAGTGATCATAAGTCGCTGAATGACGATGTATCGACTGATGTCGATGATACAAATTCTGACAGTGAAACAATATCAAATCAGCCAGATATAGAAACAGAAAGAAAAGAAGAAAGCAGACCTGAACAAACGACTGAAGAAAGTAGTGACAATGATTTTGAAAAAATAGAAAAATCAGAAATACCTAAATCAGATGAATCTGAAATGCATGGAGAAACACAGGATTCAAAATCCGAAAATATTTCAAAGGAAACAGATGAAACAAAAGAACAAATCCAAGAACAAAATGATAAATCTCAGGAAAATAATACTGTCACTGAAAGTGAAAGTAGACTCAATGGTGAGAGTAGCAAAATGTCAGATACAGAAAAGTCAGAAGCTGACAATAATGAAAACATAGAAAAAAGTACTGATGCAAATATTAGTGATAGCCAGACAATAGAACCTTCTTCATAGTCTAATGTCACATGATAGGGTCACATGCTGGTAATGTGTTTTGGTGCTTGTCATATGACACAAATTTTCTGTTGTTTGTCAATACCACTTTAAGCCTTGGTATGAAATTTTTTTTCAATTTTCTGTTCTTGCGAAAATGCTTCATTTAAGCCCAAAACTCTAATTATATTTCTGGTTTCCTGAAATTGAACATTTTCTGTGTTTTAATAATGCAAATGACGTTTTAAATGACTTGAACTAAAAATATAAAAAAAAATCTTCTGTAAGAATTGACATACAAAAGATTGAAAAAGCTTCATTGTGGATGGATGGTTTTAAACAGAACAGTTACACCATACAAAATGTTTTATAGTATAACATAGTGCTACCAATCAATTAATTATAATATATATTCATTTTGTTTTTGACAAGTGCTTAACAATTAACATTTGTAGATATTATATTGGAAAATGTATTTGAAAATTGTCTTTATAATGAGTTCATCTGAAAAATGAGAAATAATACACGAGAATATAAAAATCTTTCAAACTTGCTTGACAGTGTTGACAAACAAACAGACAAAATTTAAAGAATTATTTTTCTTTTTTTTAAAATGATAATTTATAAACAGAGCTTATGTGTTTCTACTGATGCAATGGTTTATCAAGTGATAGATTTTATAAACACATCAATAATACGCATGTCCTCATAAGGGACAGTTTTGTTACTGTTTTACAAAGTTTGTATTTCTGTCGCATGGTCATTATGTTTATCATATGTTTATTTATGTGTTAACAATTTTGACATTTATTTATCCATAAACATTGTATATTTGTATCATATGTACAATATGAATTTCAGACTAGAGACTTTATTGTTATACTGTTTTAAAGTTTCATAGAAGTTGCACACTGTAAGCAATGTATGTGATTTATACATCAGGCGAACTTTGTTCTGTTTGAAATGTATGTGATTTATACATCCGACAAAATTTCTTCTCTTAAGCTTGTACATCAATAGTGAATCGATTTCAATAGTTATTGGGAGACTGGAAATTTTCTTCTCTTTTCTTCTTATTGTTATTACAAATTGAGAACATATTCATAACTGAAAGGTTACTTATTTTAAAGTTTAACCTTACCGTACTGATACAGGCTTTCCATTTTGCTTTAAAAATTATATGATCTTTTTTTTTTTATATATAAAATGTAATCAAGGATGTGAGATAAGTTTAAAATTAGAAATAAGCAGAATTAAGGGTGGGATTTGTTAGCCAAAAAAATTAACTACCTTTATATCTCGTACAATATGGCTTTGGTGTTACTGAAAGTGGTAGGCCACAGTTCCAAAATTATATTATATTTAGACCACATTTAGTTCAACTGTTTCATTTAGAGTTTATATATTTTATACATAAGTTGGAATATTCTGAAGAACAGATTTATAACATTAATGGAGGCTAAATCCACCACTGTTTTCTGACATTGTTTACCTTTTAGAAGGCCATTCGAGGCACATAATTTTTAGAAGAACTTAAATTAGGTTAGATTTAACAGTTCCATGTTTTTTGATAGCTTTTTAATAGTAATAATTTGGATTGCAAGGTTCCAGTAAAAGTTCTAAGTCCATCAAACCATCCATTGTTAAAGAAAATTTTCCAAAAATTCATTTTGTGATTATCCCTCATGATGATATTATACATAGTATAAAAGACTTTAATATTGTATTATACATGAAAATAAACTCATTTCATAGACTTAATTTTAGTATAAGACTATTATAGTGAAATTATGCTTTGAAGCCTGTCCATTTTGAATTTCTGTATCTTTAGTTTTTCTGTGTGACTTTATTAAACTACTTCTAATGTTAATGAGTACTGGTAGTTTGTTTTAGACAAGTGTTACTGTTTGTAATGTGATTATTGTTAATGTCTTTCATTTAAGGCCCAAAGGTAGATGAATGTTTTCTGTTGCAGTAGGTTAAAGAACTAGTCTGGAAACATTATGAAGTTATATATATAAAGCAGGGGTTTTGACTTTATAACTATTTGAAATTTGCCAAAATAAAAATCTTGCAATAGGAAATATATTTTTGAGTGTAATTTGTTTTTTTTTATATACAAAGATCTAACCTAGTTATGGTTGTGTGTTGATTAATGATATATAAATTTATAATAGTTTGCTACAATTTTTCATTAATCTCTAACTTTTATTTATTTATATTACATCGTGGATGATTATTTGCTCGAGTGTCTGCTAATTTTTTTTCTGTAGGTGTGAAAAACCAAAAATTAGTAATCCAGATTGATAGTTTATAAAATTATGTCACATGACTTTCATCTATTGTGGATTCATTTATGTTGATGGGTAACAATTTCAGTGAATTGAAGAAAAATGTATTTTGGTCTAAACTTTATTTTGTGGTATTATCTAATTCTGCCTAAAATTGTATATTGAATTTACATTTTGTTGAACACATTTAAATTTGTTGTATAACATTAAAACAACCATATCTACATAAATTAGTACCACAAGAATAATTTGGAATTAACAATATATTTAGAATTAATTTTTAACACCAGTTTTGTCTACAAAATTTAAATTATTGAAATATATTGCACAGTATATTCTGAATTTTTCTGTTAGTTTTAATTAAATTATTTTTATGCCTTAAAAATTTTACAATTATTTGGAAAAATATATATATATATATATATATATATTATATATATTTAAAACAAAACAAAGCATTATATCAGATTAAAGTCATTGAGAATGAAATTACTTTGGAACATTGTGATAGTTTATTGAGATGGGAGGGGGGAAAACCTCCCAAACTTTTTCACGAGTGAGTTAATCATCCATTTATTGTGCAATATGTGACCAAACTTTATACATCATTATTTTATCATTACATAAACACTGCAGGGAACACCTGTTTATTATACACAGATACTGCATTGAACAGGTGGTTCCGTTTCTGGTAAACTGGTGTTTTACTTGTTGTAATTCATTAATTGTTAATTATGAATTACAAAATTTGCTGAAATTATTTTGATTTTCTTATCCATATTTTGAATTGTGCATAGTATCAAAGCTTTGATAATTAATCCTTACCATTAGCCATGAACAAACAATATACTCTAGTTCTTAATATTATGTAAACTGGAATACCTCTATACCTTTAGCTAGAATATATAGTTAATGCAAGGTTTTTCATACTTTAAAACAAGTACTTAACATCTTTAAACAAAATAATGCCAATCAAAATTATAATTCCCAATATAACACTGGCTTTAACTTGTTCCAATGACTATTTCATTAAGAGAAATCGTTTTATTTTAAGTAGTTTCCCAGTCAGTGTTTTGACCTATTCAAACATTCTTGTTTCAATTTATTCTCCAGTTGTTTGATTGGTCGAAAAAATGTACTAGGTTCTAGTGTATTTTTTTTGCTGCTGTTTAGGGTAGGATATGACTTAAGGTCTTCTCAGATGATGCAAGGTTAAAATAATGTATATGATTTGTTAGACGTCTCTCTTTGTACAGTTGTATATAGAAATAATATTATTGTACAGACAAAGAAATAATGGAAAAATAAAATACAAATATTAAGTAAAATGTTTTTTTTTATTGAAAATTGAATAATTAATCAGTTGATTAAACTGTATACTATAGCATGGATAATGTCTGTAGAGTTTAAATTACAAGATTTCAATGGCCAAACCTTGTCACAAGGTTTTATTTCTGTGCTATACACACAGTCAGAATAATGTGTCCGGGTAGCGTGACATGTCTTTCTGCGACTGCTACCTTGTGAATTTGCCCTATAAAAATCTGGTTCAGTGTGTTAGTCTACGATCTAGTACAAAATATAGGCAACAGTAGTATACCGCTGTTCGAAATTCATAAATCGATTGAGAAAAAAACAAATCCGGGTTACAAACTAAAACTGAGGGAAACACATCAGCAGGGTTAATATTCATGTTACATTAACATGTTATTGTCCTGAATATGCATTTAATTTCCCACTGGACATTAAGCAGCAATCCATCATCATCATCATGTTAAACCTTTACATATGACCTTGCCAAAGTCAATCTGATAATATGGGATCCGTCATTCGTCCAGCCTACATAATGGAACTTGTACAATCGAAGAATTAAAGGAAATAAGATGTAACTTGGCAGAATGGTTTCTTATAGAAAGTTGTATAAAAGTTTTTTTTTACTTTGGTATTAATCGTAGAAGGCACATGTCTATCATGGACAAATTATTAGCTTTTCTGATTGGCTGATTTTATGAAGATCATTTTAAAAACCACTGAACAAGTTGAAACCAAATATAACAGAAAGGTTACTTTTTACGCTCGGACTTGGTTTTGTTTCTTGTGTGCTGACCATTTTTGCAGTAAAATCTTTTAAAATATTAAAGAAATCGTCTTCTGGTGAAATTTTTAAGCAATTGAAACCAAATATGATACCAGTAGCTGTTTCTAAAGGCTTTATTTCCGATCGGGGGACCAGTATTGCAACGATTGGAAAACTTAAATGGTACACAATGGGAATAATATAGAAAAGATCTATTCAAGAATCTCTATGACAGAAGGTTTCCCTGTATTGTACTTGCCAAAGGTGGTGATGGACCATTCCTTGTTGACTCCTATGGGAGGTTAAAGTTTTATTTATGATTGAGTATTAGAAAAATATGTAAATAGAACCAATGCCACCAATGAACCTGTTGGAACAATATGACGGTGGCTTCTGGGGAAATACTTGGTGGTTTTATATTAGTGCTACATATATGGCTGTCAACACATGATTGAAATAAGAGCCCGATTTGGAAAATATGTAGATATAATTCTCCATTGTAACTGTTGTACTCAGGGTCTTATGAGAAAATACGAATATCCCAAAAAAGTACTGAATTCTAAAATAAATGTAAGTAAGTAAGTAAAACTTTATTTGGATTTGGCATATTGATGCAAGCGCCCTGTAGAATAGTGAATTCAAAACATTAAATTGCAATGCGATTTTGTTTGGAAACATAAAACTGCGTGAACATGTATCAAATTACCTGCAAACTTAGGAACAGCAGTCAAAACCAACCAATGACTGAACAAGACAAAATGTGAAAAAAAATTATTTCTTTAGTTGTCTGATAAACTTTTCCATAGAGAAGCAGCAACAAAACGGAAAAGATTTCTAACATTCTGTGGTAAATGTAAGATTTTACTGCATCTCAAAGAATAGTTTGAATGTTTAATGTGTAGCAAATTATGTGAACATAAAGCAGACAAATTATTCAAAATTGAGTAGGTCTTTTGTAGTGCTATTTTCCTGATGCGTCCCACTTGTCTCACAGATGATATCGGATATGTTCCTTATGTCGTAACTACAATACCCTTACCTTTTCACGAATGTGACCTACCGAATTAGACTATTTACCGGATTTGTAATAACATAAGCAACACGACGGGTGCCACATGTGGAGCAGGATCTGCTTACCCTTCCGGAGCACCTGAGATCACCCACAGTTTTTGGTGGGGTTCGTGTTGCTTAGTCTTTAGTTTTCTATGTTGTGTCATCTGTACTATTATTTGTCTGTTTGTCTTTTTATTTTTGGCCATGGCGTTGTCAGTTTGTTTTCGATCGGCGAGTTTGACTGTCCCTCTGGTATTTTTCGTCCCTCTTTTGTAGAGTCGGAACCTTTGCATTTAAAAATTTTAACGTTTCAGCTGATGATTTTTAGCCTTAAACGCTTTTTCTTGTATTTTTTCTTGTTTTAAGACTTTTTCTTCTGTACAAAAATGCCAACCGAAAGGGCAAAAATGAACACTACTCAACATAAAGGTATGACAAATTGTAAGTTTGTTTAATCTGTTTAAAAAGGATTCAACTATTTTGACACCTGTCTACACAAGTTACTTATATGTGCTTCAAATTTAAGTTTGTAATCTACATCAATTCCAAGGAAATTGAGTTTCTTGTCATGACAACATATTTTGCTGAACTTGAATTGACAAATTTTTTGCAAAGGGGATTTCCCTTCAGCAAGGACCGGAAATTTATCAAGATTTTCTTTGAACCACTCTGCTTGTAATATAGATATGAGACACATAATAGGAAGACAGGGTATTGTCGTCAGCATAGTTATATAAGGTTCCCTGGTTAACAAAATAAAAAAATGATCATTTATATTCGATCGTCATTGATGAGTGTTTTGTAGACGAAACCCGCGTCTGGCGTACAAAATTTTAATCCTTTTATCCATGATGAGATTATTTATGACGACATTAAACAAAAGGGCTCCAATATACAGGTAGAGCTGTGAACCCTTTTGGATGGCAGCCCACTGTTTAATTTGTTGTTTTGTCGGAAAGATGGGATTGTAATAGATACAAAATGCCAGGGCTTCACTCCAGTCGTTCAGTAATCCAAGCAGCGTATACTAGATAACAAACCACAAATACAAACTACGATAATGTTCAATATTATACAGTATTAACGAATGTAGTAAGGTACTAAAAGGAAGCTCGGGGTAATACACTGCTAATATCAAACATAGAAAATTTCATTCAGCAATTTCATAAACAGAACAGAACGACATGATCTTGTGCAATGCACAGAACAAATAGTACAGAATTTCAAAGCAGAAAAATAAAAAGACCTACAAAATTTTGAATAATTTGTCTCCTTTATGTTCACAAAATTTGCTGCCGTTAAACATTCAAACTATTTTTTGAGTTGCAGTAAAATCCTAGAAATACCACAGATTGTTAGTTATCTTTTTTTGTAGCTTCTTCTCCATGGAAAAGAAACAAATAAGTCTTGTTTCAGACTATAAATCATCGAATTGATTTTTATCCCTCAAAACACCAGACTGTGTATCTATATCTATGCATATAAATAGTTGGTTCTTTTTCGCTTCTTATGTGAACATGTTCAACGTTCCCATGTCTATATCTTCTTTGAAGACCGGAACTGTCATAAACATTGTTTATTTAAGGCTATGTCCAGTATAAATTAGTTCACAATGGCTTGTACGTACATAAAGTCACCATTGCAAATTCGTGGAATATACCAGAGAAGTTATAAAAATAAAAATGAAAATAACACTTTATAAATTTGTCGCGTCCGACGCGCTTTTCTTGATTAACCATCATCAGTTGAAAGCAAATGATTTGTAACTACCTACATGAATAAAGCGCTTTATGATAAAAAGGGTCTAGACAATAACCATATTCCCCTGAGGTCAACTTTGTCTGAGGGAGTTGTAACCTTAGTATTTGAATAGTTTCTCAATTTATCAACATAGAATTTAATTACAAAAGAATGTTTCAAATCATGTCAGTAATGAACCAACGACAACTGAGCAGACACTAACAGCAGCGGTATCGTCCGAGTGCTAGAAAAATAACACATAATTTGTTGGGTCCGAAGAGCTTTTCTGGATTTATCTTCATCAGGAAAGCTCATATCCCAAAATTTGAGAGCCAATGATGTATAACTGACTTAACACGTGAAGAGCTGTATTATCAAAAAGGGTCTCGAAAATAAGCAAATTCATCTAAAGTCAATTTTTAAATTTATCAATTTATCAACGGAGAATTTAATTGCAGAAGTATGTTATAAATCTTTTCAGTACCGAAGCACCGCTGACGACTGCGCTAATGAAACCCTCGGGTCTAACTGTTCACCACTGTATCGGCCCAGTGCTAGACAAATGAAAATAACAGTTACTTTATTTGTTCTGCCCGATGCACGTTTCTGTATTTACTTTCACCAGGAACACTCATACTGGAAAATTGAAAGCCAATGATGTATAACTACCTAAACACATAAATAGTTACATGATCAAGATGGTTCTAGAGAATAACCTAATTCCTCCAAGGCCAACTTTGCATCTGGGAGTAGGAACATTTGTTTTCTTTTAATAATTTCTTAATGTATCATTTCACTGAAAGATTGTGAGTAAGAAGCAAGTGCACTGAAATAGAAATAATACTTACCATCCAATTCCAGTTAGTTAGGGGATGTCTTATGTATTAAGTCACCAACTTAAATAATTTGATTGCTATTTCCGAAACTTGTTAATTCAAGTAGGCTGCAATTCTTTTTATACCGACAACGAGATATTTATACCTACACGAGAAAGTCGTTAATTTCGTATATTTTTGTTTCATCCAGTGAATGGTAAATAATAATATTTATTTATTTTCACAAAAATCTCTCCTTTTTACAACAAAAGCGCAAAAAAATCTTCCACTAATCGTCAACATCACCCCATACTGACTTTTCACAGATGATTCGAACCAGAAGAACAATGAAGAATGATTAAAACGGATACTTAAATAAGGATACAATGGGAATGTAAACATCGCATGTTTATGAACTATGAGAGTTGGATGGTCTGGAATTATTCGAAGGTCAGAATCCAATGAATGTTAGAGTACAAGATCTGAGACATTCTTTGGTCGGGGAAAAGCAGAGCCCAAAAGTGCAAGACTTGGAAATGTCATACATTCACAGTCCTAAAAGTGTAAGACCAAGAAATGTTAGATAATCGAAGGTTGGTAAAATCCAGGGCCCTTTATGTGTAAGGGTAGACAATCCCCGATA